AACTGTAAACAGCAAAATTGTTCAACAAAGTAAGATCTACAAATAAGTAAACATGACCAAAAAGGTCAATTGACCCCTTAAAGAGTTATTGCCCTTCATAGTCAATTTAAAAATTTTTTGGTAAATTTTTGTTATCTTTTACAAAAATCTTCTCCTCTGAAACTACTGAGACAAAATTTAACCAAATTTGGCCACAATCATCATTAAGGTATCTAGTTAAAAAATGTGTCAGTTGACACGCCTACCAACCAACATGGCTGACATGGCTAAAAATAGAACAAAGGGGTAAAATGTTTTGTCTATTATTTTTTTAACCGTTATAAACAGAGAAAATCTGAAAGGAGCAAATATGTTCAGAATAATGAGCACTTCCAATTGTCCATATACGTCAAAACTGTTAGACAAATTCTTATAGGATTTGTCGCAGATAAATGACAAATTTTACCAATCTTTTTTTATATTTGCCTATTATCATGAAAACTATGATATTTAGAGAGAAACAGGTTTTTTTTCTGTTATGCCTTATATTATTTGAATTATAATAGATAAATAAACACTTAAAATCACAAAAATTATCAGCAAGGCAAGATCTGTTGATAAGCCAATGAAACTAAGTAGGCTAAAAGATCAGTAATACAAGATTAACAAAATAGAGATTTTTGTCACGAAGTCTATTCTTGTCTACAATATTGGAGAGTGTCCTTTGTTCGATATGCCCATAGACCAAGGTGAGCGACACAGGCTCTTTAGAGCCTCTAGTTTAATATTCTTTGGAGCTCGGTATTTTAGTTATTTTACTTTTTATAAGACTGGTATATCTGATGACTTTTTACAACTACTTGGTTGATACCACTGGTGGTGGATTTTTCGTCCTCAAAGGTATCCCAAATAGTTGGTTTGACTAATGAAGTAATTTTCTGTTAAATTGCTGTAAGTTAGTACACTAGGGTCCTCCAGGCATAGATGGCCTAAGCCAGATTTGGCAAAACTTTTTCGGTTTTATTCAAAGACTTTTAACTTTGTTATTGATTTGACTTTCCACCTATTTTGATTTGAGTACCAATGATGGCGTACTAAATTAGAAGCCTGCTATCTTTGATGACTTTCTACTACAAAAAAAGTGACACTTCTCTACGCGCCTTTACTGAATCGTAATAATTGTTTTCTACGTTCAGTGTGCTTTTCAGGATTTACCTTGACCGAGATTTATAAGATACATCAACATCCATACCCTTGGGAAACATCAAATGTATAAGAGAGAGGTGAAATATACCAAAAATATATCCAAATTTACAAGTCTATAACAAACTGACAATGCCATGGCAAAAAACGAAACGACGAAAAGACAAACAACAGTACACAAAACACAACATAGAAAAACAAAGACTGTGCAACACGAATCCCATAATACGAAGGAAATGAAAATAAACTCATAGTATGTATAACAAAATGGCATCATCTGAATTTATGATTGTTATTTAGAAATGTCAGTAAAATACTTAAAATTCTTTCTCTACAGATGATTGAGCGAAATGAACTAAACACTGCTTGAATCTTACCAGTCATTATGCTTTGAAACATTTGGTGACATTTAGTGAATTCAGAGGAAATAGCTATGGCTTAAATGCATATAAATGTAGTTTATAGAATTCTTAGAATGGTTTTGCAGCTAAATTGAGAAGTTTATTTGTAAAAATGAGTTTTAATGATATTTTTGGTATAGATTTACACATAGGCACAACCTTTCGATATTTTCAGTTATTAATGCTCTTCAATTTCGCTTTTGATTTTTCTTTGCAAACTGTTCTTATTAAAGCGTCACCGATAAGTCTTATGTAGACGAAACGAACGTCTGACGTACCAAATCATAAGCCTGGTATCTTTGATTTTTTTTTTTTATTTCTATGTATCGCATTCGTCGCAGGTTTGACAAGAAGACGTTTGCTATCATGATCCTTGTGAAATCTCTGGAGGCAGTTGCTTCGAACTTAGATTGAATCCCGTTAACACAAAACCATATGAAATTTTCTTTGAGAAGGAAACACTGGAATTTGGAGATATGCAACTTTAAGAAACTTTTCTGTAGAGCTTGAATCATGAAGATTAATATTGCCATCTTAAAGTGAGTGTGAATTAAAGATTTTAGGTTAAAATTGGGCGCATCCCTCCGTCCCTTTTGAAACAAGAAAGAAAATGTTGTAAAACCCTGGAACAGTATGAAATTAGGGGACATATTTTATCAAATTCTTCTAATGAGCCTTTTTTTTAACTTTTTTCTAACACCCCTATTTTTTTAAGGAGGTTCTTGTTGCTTACATTTATGTTTTCAGTGTTGTGTTTTGAGGACTTGTTTGTTTTTACGTCCTCCTTCGTTTTTCTTTTTGCAAGGCGTTGTTGGTTTCTATTCGGCTTAGGAGTTTTGAATGCCCCCCTCTGAATCTTCCATCTGGAGCGTCTTTTTAAAGAATCAGATGAAATCTTTCATGAACTAAAGGATATAAACTCTCTGAATCCACTTTTTAACAGATTTTGTAAATATTCCCTAACTGGGCTTGACCTAAAATTTCTGTACATCATGAATTTTGAGTTCCTTGAGAGGACGAAACAACCAACTAAAGGTGTTCCTTTATGTAAAACTGTTCTGTGTATGAGACTGATCGCCTAATTCAAAGGCTTTTACTCTATACTTACTTTTAGTTTTATAATCATTTGAAAACTTTCTTCTTGTAATAGACAAGGAATACGAATCTATCAACTCTTTGTGTTTTTCTAGTTGATCTGAGCTAACATTTTTTTCCCTTTAGAATTGTGTCACATTGGCATCACATATATTTTCTATGTCATCGTGCATAATATCAAAGAACTTATCAACAAATACATTTGGCCCAATAGTAGACAGTATGAAACGTTCATTATTTTTAACTTTTCGTTTCTAAATGGTATATCATCTCTGAAACATGCGCTAAATGCCTTGACTTAGCCTCATTCACAATAATTATATATAGAAATAAAATTTGCCATTGATAAAAAAAAACCTCCATGAGAGATATGTGGCTCGGTTTTATCACCATCTTTATCCCCATCCCCAGATAGAGAATTCTTGCTGTCTAATTTTGAAATATTATACGTTATTCTAGCAATGTTAATGTTGCACTTCTGTTAATATAGACAATGCAATTTCCCTTTTACGGCTAAAACTATGCCACTTTTACTATAAACTTTCGTAAAAAAATATATCCTGGAATAGACTATATTTTGGCAAAGATCAAAACATAGGGTTGTCATATATTTTCAACATTTATATGACTCGAACTTCTAAGAGTTTAAAATTATGTACTACCCCTGCTGCTACTTTAACTCTTCCTGAGAATTCTATTTGACTATCCAACTCCATTTATACTGGTAAATTTCCCAAGTAGTGTTTTTATGAGATGAAATATGGAGATCATTTCTGGAAACCAGTAGGTAAATAAAACAAAATATCTATGAATATGAATATTAAACAGCTCCCAAAAAGATGAGTGGTTTGTAAATTAGCTGTATATATAAAGTGCAACCGTAAGCGATTTTTTTGAAAGAAAGAGAACTCTGATTTGCCTTACGTATAAATCATATTTCTACGTCACATCCTACGCATACTGTATATGTGCAAGTCGATTTTGATGTATGACGTATATTGTTATGTCTTTTGTGGTATTTCTATAAAAAGATGTGAATGATCAAGCACATGAGACCTTCTTAACTAAACTTTCTTCTGTGTCATCTGACTATCCTAATCTCTCAATAATGATTTAACAAGTCACTACTTTTTAATCTTGACTGAGAATATGCATTTGAAGACGACAACCACTCCAAAGCATTATCATCTGAAAAGTATGACAAACTAAAAATGATCAGTTCGCACCCCGAAATTCATTTAATCACTAGCCTTGAACATCCTGATTGTACTTTTAGATTGAATTTTATTTTTTACTTGTTTGGTAATGTATCGGGAACCACGAGCGAGTTAAAAGTACATTGTTCTGAAGTATTATCTTCTACCTTGATATCTATATTTTCGCCACCTTTGTCTCAAAGGATGATCAACTACGGTAACCTGTATAGTATGAACTATCCAAATCAGGATGATTAGGCTGTGAAATCTGAGACACGGAACAGATATCTGAATTGCCTCCATTAGCATGAACTGACAATTCTAAAGATATTTTTTTTTGATTGGTTGACTGAATATTAGTTATATTATTATGATAGTTTAAGGCACGAAACATCACGTCATATATTCAAATCATTAAAAGTTGATTGATTGATTGTTGGTTGCTTAATTTCCAGTGGATTAAAATTTGAACCACGTGTAATCTGAATGTGTCCCATATTGCACACTAAGGTTGAAGACGCAATATTATTCTGTATTGACAATTCGGTAACACTTTTTAACAATAATTCTCTGCATGAGGAACTCCTGATAAATTGAAAATATATGAGCACACAGCCAACTTATTTGCTACGCAACTAATATCATTCCTTCCTTGTGACACTGGCCCATACAAAGGGCTTGAAAGGTAAGGTACAAGTTTAACATGTTCTGTGTAAAATACCTTGTGGAAGCTTTCACCACAAAGGGATTCATTAACCTAAACTGTTCATCAAAACATAACCGATTAATCTTCACACAAGGCCTTGAAGTCGTGAAAGGTGAAGTTGGTCCCGTTCAAGCAATAAAAAAATGTCACCTGACCTATTCTTACCTGCCGAATATTACAGATTCGGAACTGACTGACCTTTAATTGGAATGCCTGTATGTATCTCAGTCAAACATTGAGAACAAAAGTAGCAAGGGAAGCCTACATTACAGGCGCAGAACAAAAACTGACCCTGATGTTCAGTTAGTCCAGAGGCCCCATGGGGTACAGTTAGGCACATGTATTGACAGGCAGGTGACTATGGATGGTGATATACACATGAATAACAAAAATAAAAATAAAAAGCAACAATAACTAAAAAACTTTTCTATATAATTTATTCCCTCAGTATACTGGTGGTCCTCGAAAATATATATATGCAAGAATGATTCAGAATTAAAGTTAAGTCACAGAGAAGCACTATGATACATAAGTATGTTTTTAGTTTCCTTATATAGCCAGAACAATACATTATTTCTATTTTCAGAACAATATTTCAATGCCTAGACATGATAATTTGGGAATCTGATTGCCATCTCGCCACAAATATTGAACATAGTAAAAACTGGTATGGTTTAAGAAACAATTTGTATACAAACACAAAAACTGTTAAAATTTTAGTACTTTAAAAGGATGGATAGTTGCAGCAAGATTAATTTCAGAGGTATTACACCTGACCATCTGATTCTACCTTACTGAAATGTAAAGGTAAATTACATAGGAAATACAAACATGATTGTCGAAAGTATTCAAAATATGCCAAATTAAAAATTCTAAAAAATGATGATGTTCTTTGATATTTTTGCCTTTATTTATTATCTACATCCATAAGCTGTCTTCTGTTATTTCCAAAATAGGAGATTCAATCCTTATATGAGATTCTTTCCAATCTTAATTAATATCATTTTTAGACAGTATTCAATAAACATTAAGAATCAAAGATTTGAAAAAAAAAAGCTTTAGGTTGTCAAAATTGCTATTCTTATACTATATAATAATAATAATAAAAAAAATATTGCCTGTTTAGTTAATAATCATTGTTTTAGTTTGCAATGAGACTAACTAAACAATAATAGAGTTTATATATGTATTAATCATATTTATAATTCAAAACAGTATGTTAAACATTAACCAGTTTTAAAACAATCTGAGATTTTCAAAACATGTATATTGAAATAATGTATACTTTTTATTACATATATAAATTTAAAAGTCAAGCAGCAATATCATCAACCAAGATTACAATGTGTTATGGTTTAAAAATAATATACAGAGCATCTGAATGTTTGGAAAGTGATTAACATTTGAGGACATTTCATTATCAAGCTGTGAAGTGGACACAATTCTAATTTCAAGCTTTCTCGTGTAACTTGATAACATTCAATCTTTTATAAGCACAATTTGCTTAAAATTTATCAAATGAAAGATTTGTTTTAATACATTTTATACTTTTTAAAATTTTATACCAAAAAGTGCTGGGTAACAGATAATGAAATTCTTCTCCAATGTTGAATTTACTGGATACAGATTTTGAATGTATAAGTCACAACAATGAAATTAACTATGTATAATATAACAATATCAAGTTGCCCCCCTGTCGATGAGGAAACAGAACGACAGCAAGAATGTCATTTATATTGCATAACAAAAAAAACATCGATGTCTCATGATAAAACTTAACAAACAAAATATAAGTTGTAGAAAAACAAAACTCTAAATCAAAATAACATAACAAAATGACTTCTCTTAAAAATTATAATATTGTCTGCAAAAAATACAACATTTTGAAACCTTGGTTTACCTATTTATAACTGGTCTTTAAGTCTGTGAATCCTCCTGTTTTCTTTTTGTATTGAGCATAGCTTCTCAAAATATTTCCCATGTTGCAATTTACAAAAGTTTGAATGCAAAGTAGCATGACTTTATATTAAAATTTTTAATAAAACTGAGGGTAAGAAAGTCTAAAAAGGACATCTAAAAATCCTGACTAACTTTGACAACTGACAATTTATTTTAAGACTAGATCTTGGTGCCAAAAGTTTGGTTATTAAAAGTATAACTCATAAGATACTTTTGAAGTGAATTCCCAAAACTACTTAGGAAAATAGTGGGGTAAACATTCAAAGACAACCATTTATTTGATGTATTGTATAAATATAATGAAACATAAAACAAAATGTAAACAGGAAGCTGCCTTTACATTTTAGATTAATACAACAATTAATAGATATTTACATCAACAATCAATGCACTTGTTTTAACCACAATACTTGTAATTGAAGTTGTCTTCGTGCATGGTTTCAGTTTCATAGATTTTGATTTTATTTTGTCTGTAATGAAAAAAAGGAAGTAACTGAAATATGTTGCTAAAAAAAAAGTACTTACTGAAATATGCAACTTAAAAAAAGGGTACTAACTGAAATATGCAACTTAAAAAAGGTACTAACTGAAATATGTAACTCAAAATAGTAACAACTACTGTAAATTCAGAAATTATTGCGATGTTTTTATTATTGCGAAAAATGCGACAGGGTTATAATCGCAATAATTTAAACTCGCATTTTGAAATTTGAATATGAATTAAACAGGATTTTTCTCAATATTGCAAAAATTAAAATCTCATTTTAGTTTAAAATGACAAAATCGCAATAATAAATGCATGTAATAATTTCTGAATTTACAGTAATTAATTTTGATTATAGAAAATATCCAGTAAAAAAATTTAGAAAAAAATGTAGTAATCATCCTGTATCTCTAAACAGTTTCCCTCTCCAAAGCACAATTTATGCTTGACTAATAAACTCTTCTACAATTACAGCAAAGCAACAATTTCTCTTAAAATGCCTAGTTCTAAAAACTTGTTTGAGATCTTTAATGCATCCAGCACATTATCGGTACTATTCAATATAGTTATTAAAAAATTAAATACAATAAATAAATACTGTGTACTGCTATTTCTTGACTCTCATTATATTGAACTTTTATTAATCAATTAAATTAAAAACATTTGAATCAGCGCCTTGTTAATTAAGGTATGTCAGGTTCTATTAATCAATGTTAACCAATATGTATTATAAAATGATATGGAATTAATTACTGTTAAAAAATACTGAATTATCTCCCTTTTTATATCCTATAAATTGAAATAAAAAACTATCAAATTTTACTGATGAATCAAATAACCAAATTTGCAGTACAGGAAGTATTCCTTTGATCAACCCCTTTTAGGAATGTTCACTTTAAAAAGCCTTACAAGCTTTATAAAAACATGGGGATCTACAAAACAAAAGCCCTACTTGGGGTCAAATTTCATTTGTTTCAATTCAAATTTTGTGAAATTTAAAAACCAACATACCAAGCTCATATAAACAGTATAATATACCATTATTATATTAAACTTAAAAAAGACATACTTCTTATCAGTTCTTTACGTTTTATTTTTTAAATTTAATTCTAAGGGTATAAAGACATTTTTAAAAGGTATAGATAGAGAATTTTATTTTGCTCAAATTAAAGACTCAGCAATTCATCGTATAGATATATATCATCACTTCTTTACACTGGGAATTAAGGATTTAATTTCAACAAGCCTCACATTTTAAATTAAATTTAACTGTCTCAATAGGATAAAAATCGTTTCAAACTCGATTGAATAGTAAAATCTATATTTCCATGAATTTATATATAAAATTTGGCAGGAATTAAGAATGTGACCATCTACAACACAGTCACTATAAGATTTGATAAATGAAATATTTTGACTTGCATATCATTCACAATTTTGGCCATTTTGTTCATGTCAGGAATACTCAGTCAATAACTTCTAGAAATTTATGCAACCATTTTAACATTTTTATCCACCTAATTTTTGATTAATGTAAGTACAAACATACACATCTAATTCATCTTTATTACAATTTATGGTAAATAGTAAACACTTATATGGCACTTCAGATATATGTTCAAGATAAAGAGAGTCAACAAAATTTATATAATATTTATTATATCATGCCTCCCACAAAAACTTCTAAAAAATAATTAAGTCTAATGATTGACAACTACTAATAATTTGTCCACCTATATCATCCAATAACACAGTTCCCACATATGTTTTAAGTAGTAGTCCATTAACTGTTTGGAGTGGAATGGATCTTCAATAAACTCCTAGGAGAGTCTACCTATAATATAAAATATCAGGATTATTGATAAAAACAAAACGAGAACAAAATCATAGTTAAAACAACTTTGTAAGTTGAAGGATTCAATATTATATCAGCTTAATGTTGCATCAGAAACCTTTTATTGTTAAGGAAACCGTCAAATGTAAATATGGACAGCAATTCAAAAATAATAAATGTGGAATGTGTCCATGGGACACATATGCATGGACACAGATGATGACCCCGCTTGCATAAAACATTATAAAGGGATAAACTCAAGAACGATAAAAGCGACATTACCCAAATTTGTACTTGATCTGAGTTTTGTAGTAATAAGCATTGTGTATAAGTTTCATAATATTTGGTTGAGGCAAACTAAAGAAAGAGAACGGAAATGAAAAATTCAGCAATTTTTCCATTTTGAAGTGGCATAACTCTAGAACGGTAAAAGTGACGCCACCAAAATTCAAGCTTGATTTGTGTTTTGTGGCAATAAGCATTGTGTATAAGTTTCATAACATTTGGTTGAGGCAAACTAAAGTTAGAGAAAGGAAACGAAAAATTTAGCAATTTTTCCATTTGTAAAGGGGCATAACTCTAGAACGGTAAAAGTGACGCCATCAATTTTCAAAACTTGATCTGTGTTTTGTGGTAATAAGCATTGTGTATAAGTTTCATAAAATTTGGTTGAGGCAAACTAAAGTTAGAGAAGGGAAACCAATTTTGGGACGTACAGACGGATGGACGGACGTACAGACAAGGGTAAAACTTAATGCCCCCTTCACTACGGCGGGGGCATAAAAATGCTTTCTGCAAAGAACGAGGACACCACTAAAACTTGCATTTAGCAACTACCAGTACAAACCATTGCAAACAAGTAAACAGTTAAAACAGCCAACAAATGCACCCCAACAGGTAACCTGACAGTATAACAAAGGTCACATTAAAGCTAATAAAGTAGCATTTTAAAATTTAAAGGTTTAGGTCTAACAAAAATTGGTAAAATTCTAAAGTAGCAGTGTACAATCTCTCTCACTGGTAAAATAATTATTCTTATAAATTAGAAAGTCCTATGGTAACAAATGTGAAAATAGTTATCATAATTGTATCCCCTAGTGCACTGTTGTAAGTAAGTAAGTAAGTAATGACTTTATTTAAGGAGGGTGACTCAATTAGCATTCACTAATCTACCTTGAGGCCCTCACTAAGAACAAACAGTACAAATATTACAAAGCTTACAATTTGGAACATATTATGTAGATGCAATATTCATGCTAACTATACATTGTCTATAGAACAAGAGAAAATTAAATTCATATATATACCACGGTACATAAAATACAAAATCATTAAAATATATGAGTGAGTTGTTATAAATCATTTACAGTCAAGAAATCTATACATTTTTGTTTAAAAGTGCCCAGATTTTCACAACATTTTATTTCATTAAATGATTTGGTAGTTTATTGCAAAGTATTGAGGAGCTATATACGAAAGATTTCTTCATTGAATTTGTGGTGCACAACAGCTAAATTATTATTTGCAGATGACCTTAGATTTCTATGATGTAGGTTATCAATTGGACAACAGAGTTCCTTTAAGTAATCAGGTGCCTTATCGTTGAGAATTTTATGAACAAGAATAAGTTTATGATATGAAATTCTGGATTTGAAATTTAACCATTTTAGCTCTTTAAATAAATTTATACTAGGTGTAATTATTGGTGCATCAAGTATAATCCTTGCAGCTCTTTTCTGCATTTTAAGAATTTTTTTATATCCATCTTAATAACAATTTCCCCATACTGAGCAACAAAAATCAAATATGCGCAGTATATAAGCATTATAAAACAGCTTTCTACTAATATTATCCAAAAATTTCTTAATTCTAGATAGCAGTGCGATACGAGAACTTAAGTTTTTACATACATAGTCAATTCGAAATTTCCAGTCCAAATTTTTGTCAGTATATACACCCAAAAGTTTCTGTATTTCAACAGATGTAATTGGGCTATCTTGTATTGATATATTCATATAATTTCCTAGCAAAGTCCATTTCTTATTTGTTCCAATCAACATAGAAGTAGTTTTTAAAGGATTTATAACCATTCTATTGTTTAAACACCAATTATTTATGGTGTTGGCATCATAATTTAATTTTCTTTCTATCTCTTCCTTATTTGTTCCATATGTATGAAGAGTTGTATCATCAGCATACATATCAATGGCTGTATGAGTGGCTTCTAAAGTCATGCAATTTATGAATAAAACAAACAGAAGGGGACCTAAAATGGACCCTTGGGAAAAAACCATATTTGATACATTTAGAATCTGAGGCTGTATTACCAGAGCACACTTTTTGTTTTCTGTTAGACAGGTACGACTCAAAACCATTTTATTGAATGATCAGAGACTTTGTATAAATGTAATTTATGGCAGAGAATGACGTGATTAACCAAATCAAATGCTTTTTTCAAATCTAGAAAGATTGTTCCTACAACATTGCCTTCATCAATACATTTAAGCCAGGTGTCAATTAATTTGGTAAGGGCTGTCTGACAATGAGTGGTTAGATCGGAATCCAGATTTTGCCTCATGTAATACTTTATATTTTGACAGATATAGATAAAAATGGTTTGCTACATGTTTTTCAAATATTTTTGATAAAGTAGGAAGTATTGATATAGGTCTGTAGTTTTCTGGCATGTTTTTATCACCATTTTTAAATATTGGATTTACTTTAGCTAATTTAAGATTTTCTGGGAAAACACCTTCTAGTATACTTAAGTTGATTAAATATGTTATACTTGGGGCTAAAGCTTCCGATGACAATTTAATGAAAAACGGACTAACTTCATCAAGTCCAGTCGCTTTGGATGTTTCTAGTTTAGAAAGTAATCTCTTAGTTTCATCTAGTTTAATAAACGGAATCTTAAATTTATCACCAGCGGGTATTTTATCTTGAACATAATCATTTAATTTATTTGCTTGAAATTGCATGTTATTTGTAACATATTCATCACCTATTGTTGTAAAGTATGTGTTGAAATGATTTACTATATCTTGCATATTATCATATTCTTTATTGTCAAAATTCATGGTAGATGTAATTTCAATTTGTGCTTTGGGTTTTAAATCTTTAAGTAAAGCCCAAATTTCTTTAGGTTTTTTGTTATTTTCTATTGCTTGCTTGAAATAGGACTGTTTTGATTTTTCTATTGATTTGGTACATTTGTTGCGCCAATAACAGAAGTTTTTCCAATCCCTCTTGCTTTGATAATAGTTTCTTTTCTTTTGAGCATCTTTCACTTTGTAATCTCCTCTGATGTAAATCTATGAACTTGTGCAATTTGAACAACCATAAAAACATAAGTTAAGGTACACATAGCTGAGAGGGTGATAGAGCAGATTATTACCCAGAGAAAACATTGTCAACAGAGTGGAAGCCAAGGTTGATAATGTTTTCTCTAGGGGTAACAATATGCTATACTGTGCCGTACGGGTTTTGCTCATAGTTGAAGGCATTACGCTGACGTATAGTTGTTAATTTTTACGTCTTTTGGTCTCTGGTAGAGATTAACAAATATACTGTGGTATCATTTCTTATTTTAATTAAAAAAATATGTGATCAACATTACAATATAAAACAATAGAGATTATTATACTTCAAGTTAAAATGCCAGATTTTGATTGGTTAAAACGAGTGAGACATACAACTCCATCTCATAGCTTATATTCTATTAACCTTCATGGAGACCCTTGATCATTTGTGTGTTTTATTCAATATGGATGATTGTTATGTACTGTACGTCATCAGAACAAACAGTATCATAAATATAATAAATTTAAGAACACATAGCTAAGAAGGTGATAGATATAAAAATAGCAAGATGTGGTATGATTGCAAATAATACAACTCTTTCCATAAAATTTTGAAATTCCTGGAACAGGTAAAAATACTTTTTTTAATGACTTAGTCTCTCCTATTGCAGAAAGTTTATCATTCTTGCTGATAGGAACAGAATTTTTTTAATTCAAGAATAAGGAGATTTGGTATGATTGAATAATATATCACTTGTAGAAAGCTTTTTTCACCTTTAAATGAAACATTTGTTCGAGTACTAACTCTTAAGTATGAACTAGGGATAACTACTTTATTAATGTCATAAGACATAAAATTTATATCAAAAATTGAAAAAATATAAGTATTGGAATGTGTTGCATCTAGCTATAAATTTAGTAATAAAAAAGAAAGCAAGTGCTTGCTATGAGCTGAAATAAAAAGGACACTTGCCCTTACTGCTGTTAAAACTGTAACCTCAGTGAGTTGTATGAATAAAAGGAGATGTGAGGTACACTTTAATGAGACAGCACCCCAACAACACAAAATCTAGAGAGAGATACAGAGGTCAACATACGATCTTCAACAAAAGAAAGATATGTCTAGCTCTAAATCAAAGCCAACAAAAGTAGTGAATAGATTTGAAATTTAAATTAGAAGATATAAGTCTATCTTAAAGAAGAATTTATGCCTGAAGCATACATTAAAATAATTCAAGTCACATGCCCTACACTAAATGTTTACATATGTATGTCCATTCATCTACACATTATACTATCAAACAACACAAGCATGTTATTTGCTTTTCAATCTTTTTAAAAACTAACAGAATATAATAAAGTAGCTTTAAATTTAGTATTACATTGTACATGCAGTTTCACAATTATAGTATTACTGTTGAGTATGGTAATAGGATTTTTGTAAATGATTTAGATATATAATAAGGAGACTCAAGATTTTCAAAAATAGATTTCTTTTACATTGAAATGTCAAGTTGGATATTTGTTTACAGTATATGAAATTGGTTTTTTTTCTGTAATAATTAAATGCATGGGCTGTATGAGATTTTTATAGCATTTCAATATGTTATACCATTTTTATATTCAGTTTCCAAGTAACCAAATTTTTAGCTTATCTAGCTTCTGTTCAATTTCAGAAAAAATAAATTTGCCAAAAACAAAATTTTCACAGGCTAATTAAGAGTTACTAAGATTTTGAATTGATAACTTCCTAAAATACATATACCCAGCAATATTATTGCATAAAATTTCATTCAGGAAAAGGTTTTAAATTTCTACATATTTCACCAATTAAGCTTAATGTCAATTTCATAAAGTATAAAGTTTAAAAAAAAAACAAACACCTTTTATCATTTGAAAAAGAATATTTGCGCAAAATACAGAAAAAGAGAAATTATGACTGAATAATACAACTAATATTCCTTGCAGATGTAAGAAAGAAGAGAAAGATCATAATGCAAACCACAACAAAGCATTACATCACCACGGTAACTATACTACAGGAAGTGACCTACCTGTAACCTTGAGAGATTCATTCCACTGTTACGCTCTTTGCTAAATTACGAGGACAATCGACCTAACAAGAGTAAAATTGTACTATGTCAACCAGTTTTTAAGTATAATTTCTTTTCTTTCTTCCAGTTTTAAGTATAATTTCTTTTATTTCTTGCAATGACTTTATTCATCTTTCAGTTAACCAATAAAAAATATTTAAAACCTACCTTCCATCAAAACATTCTAATTTTTAAACTATAACATCATTTCAGTTTAGGTTCATTCTAACATGTTGACCTCTAGGTGTCTTTTTTGTGTTGTTAGGTTGCTGTCTTGTTGTCGTATACCTCACATCTCCTTTTATTCTTAACAAAAATTCTCATATTTACAGTTTTCTTTTAAAAAGAAACTTGAATCAAAATTAAGTCTGATTTTAAAATATCAATTCATACAATAATTAAACATATTGACAGCCACTTATCAGCTGATTACTTCAAAACTTATCAAATATAATATATAAACTCCAAATAAATGTGTATCATCTGTACTGTGCAGCTAATGATTTTGAATAAAATGATTAGTAAATATGTTTTATTAATGCTTATAGCAATTATTAGAACACATACATTCACTACTTAATGTAACACAAGAGATATTAAAAGCAAATTGCTTCCTGCTTATAAAAAGGGAATTGATTTCTGGGATATGATGTTTGGGAAGATCAAATTTCTTCATTGATCAATAAAGAGAATCAATTTTTTCTTGTTGAAATTTGTTAAATACTAATCCACAGTAATAGCTACTAAATTTCACATGAATATTTATTTTTAAATCCCTGACCAGATCTGGATTGAATAGCACCATTTTTTGAACCCATTACATGTCTGTTAAACTACATCACCACCTCGTGCTCTTATAAATACCGTCGATAGTGTTTCATTTTCTAAACCATCCACCAAACTGCAAGTATTAACCACCTCATGCAGAATATATATTGTTCTTAAAGATGGAAATTTCAAACCACCATTTGTAAAGGATTTTTTTGGACCACTATAAAGTAATGAGGCTTTGTGTAAAATGTTTTAGTTTTATTTTAAGAAATATTAGTTCACAAATTTTTTTTTATTAACTCTGAGAAAAACATGTTTTATTGGCTAATAATATTCTTACTTGTATGTACTACTAAAAGACTGTGTGCTCTGGCAAATATAACACAAAACTTACTTTTTCAGCAAAGGAAAATAATTCTTTAGCCACAGAGAATATGTAACTTTCAAATCTACTTTTTTACCTTCCAATCTTTGGTATTCATCTGGTATTTCTTTTACAACGCATTGATAATAAACATAATGAAAATACTGCAGAAACATGTTTACAAGTAAATATTAATTTCCGTACCTACCTAATCTGGAGTGTTTTCCAATCTTGCCATTATGTATATTCCAGGTGAAAAATAACTAAGACGAGATGGGAATTTATTTTAAATGATTAAATAAAAAAAAAAATGTTTTTTTAATGTTTTATAGGTTAAATGAATCACTTCAACTTATACAATAAAGAGCTGCGCCATGAGCACATGATACGCCCCTCTTATTTTCAAAGAATAAAGTCCCATAACTCCTCAATGTCATATCAGAAATTTATAAAAAAAACTAAAGGGAGGTTATTTTAATAGATATGAACCAGTCACCAAAGCTTCATGAACACTTTTGTCCGATAACTGGAAAATCCCCCCTTTTTTCTGAATAAAATCCCATAACTTGGCAATGTAAAATCTATAATTTATTATAAAATGCTTCGCTGGGGCGCAGCTTGATACGACTGCAGAGGTCAAACCCTGAACAGTTGGGGCAAGTATGGACACAACATTCAAGCTTGATACAGCTCTGAATTTGGATTGTTATTAAATATTTGACACAGCATAGGTTTCTGACACAGAAAGAATGTGGTCTAAGAACTTGAATTTTTTTAATTTACCTATTATGGTCCAATGTCCAAAATCAAAATACATGGTTAGATTCAGCATATCAAAGAACCCCATATTTTCAATTTTTGTTGAAATCAAACAAAGTTTAATTTTGGACCCCAACTTGGACAAACTTGAAAACTGGGCCCATAATAAAAAATCTAAACACATGTTTAGATTCAGCATATCAAAGAACCCCAATAATTCAATTTTTGCTAAAATCAAACTAAGTTTAATTTTGGACCCTTTGGACCTTAATGTAGACCAATTTAAAAAACGGGACTTAAAATTAAAAATCTAAATACACGGTTAGATTTGGAATATCAAAGAACCCCAATAATTCAATTTTTGATGAAATCAAACAAAGTTTAATTTTGGACCCTTTTGACCTCAATATGAACCAATTTGATAGCGGAGCCCACAAATAAAAAATCTAAATTCATGGTTAGATTCAGCATATCAAAGAACCCCATATATTCAATTTTTGTTGAAATCAAAAAAAGTTTAATTTTGGACCCCAACTTGGACAAACTTGAAAACTGGGCCCATAATCAAAAATCTAAACACATGTTTAGATTTAGCATATCAAAGAACCCTAAGAATTCAAGTTTTGTTAAAATCAAACTAAGTTTAATTTTGGACCCTTTGGACCTCAATGAAGACCAATTTTAAAAAATGGGACCCAAATTAAAAATCTAAAAACACGGTTAGATTTGGCATATCAAAGAACCCCAATAATTCAATTTTTGATGAAATCAAACAAAGTTTAATTTTAGACCCTTTTGACCTCAATATGAACCAATTTGATAGCGGGGCCCACAAATAAAAAATCTAAATACATGGTTAGATTCAGCATATCAAAGAACCTCATATATTCAATTTTTGTTGAAATCAAACAAAGTTTAATTTTGGACCCCAATTTGGACCAACTTGAAAACTGGGCCCATAATCAAAAATCTAAATACATGTTTAGATTCAGCATATCAAAGAACCCCTTATATTCAATTTTTGTTGAAATCAAACAAAGTTTAAATACTGGACCCTATCTTGGACCAACTTGAAAACTGGGCCCATAATCAAAAATCTAAACACATGTTTAGATTCAGCATATCAAAGAACCCCAAGAATTCAATTTTTGTTAAAATCAAACTAAGTTTAATTTTGGACCCTTTGGACCTTAATGTAGACCAATTTAAAAAACAGGACCCAAAATTAAAAATCTAAATACACGGTTAGATTTGGAATATCAAAGAACCCCAATAATTCAATTTTAGATGAAATCAAACAAAGTTTAATTTTGGACCCTTTTGACCTCAATATGAACCAATTTGATAACGGGGTCCACAAATAAAAAATCTAAATACATGGTTAGATTCAGCATATCAAAGAACCCCATATATTCAATTTTTGTTGAAATCAAACAAAGTTTAATTTTGGACCCCAATTTGGACCAACTTGAAAACTGGGCCAAAAATCAAAAATCTAAATACATGTTTAGATTCAGCATATCAAAGAACCTCATATATTCAATTTTTGCTAAAATCAAACAAAGTTTAATTTTGGACCCTTTGGACCTTAATGTAGACCAATTTGAAAACTGGACCCAAAATTAAAAATCTAAATACACTGTTAGATTCGGCATAACAAATAAATAAATGTGATCAAAGATTTTACAAATCTAATGCGCCATACTGTGCAATTAAAGATTACTTCTTGAAATTTTTCAATATTTGAAATTTGAAAAAAAAATAATAATTGAAGAATGATTCTTTTTAATTTCTGAAATCTGAAATGAGAAAAAATTGACCCCCCACAATTTCTTTTTATCCCCCCCCCCCCCTTTTTTCCCCAAAAAAATTCTTTCCCTCAAGATATGGTCATAATCTCAATTCAAATTTCCAATGGAGTTGGCAACCATAATTACCCATTTAAATTTACCATAGTGCTAACTTAATCTATTTTATAATAGAATTAAAAATATAGTGTCAAATCTTTCATATGGATTTTTTTGTAAAAAAAAAAGATGCAACATTTGCAGATATTTTTACTGGTCTTCCTTTATAAATATGTATTTCTTTAAACATAATTTAAAAGCAGTGTAAGGGAAGTAACCAAAAGGTTGTATTTGGATTACCTCCCTTACACTGTTTTAAATTATCTTTATTGTTCATTAACCAATACTTTATACATAATTTAAAAGCAGTGTAAGGGAGATAATTTCAATGATGTATTTGATTTATCTCCCTTACACTGCTTTAAATTATGTTTTGTACTAAAGTATTTGTCCATTAACCAGGACAACCTTGTTTTTCCCCCTTTTTTGCCCCTAATTCCTAAACGGTTTGAGCCATAACCCCCCAAAGCAAATCCTAACCATCCCTTTGTGGTATGGAAACTTGTAGTATAATTTCAGAGAGATCCATACACCGTTCCACAGTTATTGTCTGGAAACTAGAAAATGCTTATTTTTGGCCCCTTTTTGGCCCCTAATTCCTTAACTGTTGGTACCATAACCCCCAAAATCAATCCCAACCTTCCTTTTGTGGTATTTAACCTTATGGTCAAATTTCAAAAAGATCCATTCACTTAAACTAAAGTTAGAGTGCGAAAACCAATGTGTCTTCGGACGACGACGCCGGACGACGACGACGACGACGACGACGCCAACGTCATACCAATATACGACCACAAAATTTTTTGCGGTCGTATAAAAATTGTAAGGGAGCTTACGTCAATAGATATAAACAATTGGCGGCATCAACATTTAGGTTCAGTCTGTGGTTAAAGTTTTTTTGGACATCAATAACTTTGTCAAACATACATGGGATTTTATGAAATTGGGACAGAAGCTTCTTAATGACCAAAATACAGTATCCAGGGCAAAACTTTGAAAATATTTATTTTCATTTTTCAGTATTTTACTAATAAATGGACTTAGTTTTTTTTACATGTAACTTCAGATTTTGTCTGAGGTTAAAGTTTTTCAGTCATCAATAACTTTGTCAAACCCTCATGGAATTTTATTAAATTGGGACAGAAGCTTATGACCAAAATACAGTATCCAGGGCAAAATTTTGGAAATATCTATTTTAATTTTTCCGTATTTAACTGATAAATGGACTTAGTTTTTTTACAGTTAACAAGTAGATACAGACTGGGGTTAAAGTTTGTTACACATCAATTACTTTGTCAAACCTTCATAGAGTTTTATGAAACTTTTGCAGTAGCTTTTTAACAATTTAAAGATAATGTCTGAAGCAAACCTTTGAAAATATCTTTTTTTTCATTTTTAGTATTTTTCTGATAGATGGACTTCATTTTTTACATTTGAAGACAGTCTGGGTTAAAAATAAAATCTACATGATAAATTTGTAAACCTTCACGGATTGTTTTGAAACTTGTACCTACAAGACCAAAAAATAGCATCTAGTTGAATATTTTTTTAAATTCTGTATTTTACTGATAAATCGATTCACTTTTTAAATTAACATTACACTTTAACACTGACAGCAGCAATCACAGGTGAGACACAGGGTTCTGTGGAACTCCTTATGATTCTTTTAATGAATAAAACCCCATAACTCGGAAACAAAAAATCTAAAATTTTTAAAAATCAAAAGGGAGCTCACGTCAATAGATATAAACAATTCACCAAAGTTTCATGCTAATTGGTTGAAGCGTTTTTTAGTTATTGTCCGACATGTTGACGACCGACGGATGGACAACGAAATACCATAATAAGTCCCGTAAACGGGCGTACAAAAATAAGGATGAGACAAATATCTACCAAAAATCAAAGAAAAAGAATGTTAACAACAACAGGACACAGAATAACCTTCAACAATGAGCAAAACCTATACCATATAGTTGACTTTTCAAGACCCCAGAACATCAAAATGTGAAATAATTTAAAAGGAAAAGCCAACAACCTGTTTTAAGGTAATGGCATCAAACAAAAACAATTATGTCAGACAGCAACAAAATGGACTGCAGGCTCCTGGCTTGCAACAGTTGCATAAAGAATGTGGCTGGGTTAAAAATGTTTGTTGGCGCTAAACCCTCCATTAATCTGAGAAACATTAGAACAAACTGTAAACATCAGTTGGGAGGGGCTGGACTCATAGATGCAGAATTTGTGGGAATCATCTATGATTTTATCTTATGTCTATAATTTTTTTTTTAATTTGGAAATATTTGGATTTAAATTTTTTTTTTTTTAAACTTTGATTTACAAGGGGAGGTAAATCTGATAATTTAGTTTTAAAACTCATTTATTTTGTTACGTAACAAGAAAACAAGTATGCTGACCAATTTCTTTTTTTTTGTTTCTGAGAGGATCTAATAATAGCTATCTTCTCCAATTTTATTTAAACATTCCATCTTTTAATTTTTAATGCTTTTTCAATATAAACGAAATATGAGAATTTTGTAGAACCTGTAGCTTGACTGGGTGACCTATACTTTTTATTGTATTTTTAAAGAAGAAAAAACAAGATGTAAACTACATTTTTGCAAAACTTTAATAAAACTGTATCATTTTTTGATTAAACAACAAATAAAGGCATTTTTTTAAAGAAAAAAAAAACAGGTATCTGTAGGATACTGGACTTTAAAAATACATAAAAGGGAATTTTGTTTCATGAAATGATATTTGAATTACTGGGAAACCTCTGAACAAATGTTAAATCCATTAAGGAAGCTACAAAAGTAAAGTTTGCAAATATAGACAAGGAGAATTCTGTATACTGTAGATTCATTTATTTTCTTTGATACCAATTTTCGTTGAGGGAGGAACGTGAATTTGCCAAAGTCTGCATACAAGCCTAAAGAATTGTACTTCATTGAACATTTAAATTTGTGGATTACCTTTACCCAGGAAAAATGGTATCCCGGGAATAAAAATGAATCCCCAGTAATCGATTACTACTTCCTGCTTCCATCAGTGAGCAATAATCAACCTACCTTTTACTATCCAAGGATGGGTACAATCATGCAAATGTTTGATAAACAACTATTTTTCCATCAGAGCTTTAATGTTAACTCAAACTTTTGATCTTTTCAAATTATTTTGATAGAAAATGAACAAATTTGCTCATTTTCAGACTTTTTGATCCAAAACAGCTTCTGTGACAGTATAACTTTTACCCTACATTTGCATGGTCATACTTTTGTACTACAATAGAGTGTAATCCTTACGTTATTTCCCTTTAACACAGCTATATGGAAAGATAAAAGCTGTAGTGGGACGACAGTTAATAACCCTTGGAGACAGTCCACAGTGTTGGGAACCTCAATATAACGATAAGCTTGCTGCATGGTCTCCTCATCACCCTTAGAACATAGTAAAATGGGACGACCCTAAAATATACAATACAATCTAGCCTAATCAGGGTGCTATAATAGAAAGCCAAGTTCAGACTCACATAAAAGATGCTGACAGACTACTTCATGTAATGAAAATTACTTCTTTCCTAAATTTTTCTAATAAAATTGGAGGAACAAATATTTCTTCAATTTTCCAATGTATATAGAAGAGTACACTTTTGTAATTCTTTTAACATGATTTGTCTTGATCGATCAAAATGGGATTGAGAGAAATTTATATTTCGAGATTCTTCTTTCCTTGAGAAAGACAATACTATTATGAAGTCTATCAGCATCCTTATAATGTGATACTAAGTACAATGTACCTGAAAGTGATGATTATAAAGGAAGCTAAGCATGCACAGACATATTAGTTCTGTATGAAGAATGACATAAATTCTTACATCTAGTTTTTTTAACTGAGCGATATGTAAGGATAATAACTGCATAGGAATTACACAGAGGATTCCCTGTAAACAATCGATGGTATGTGGTACAGATATACAAGATTTGCCCATTGCTTGAGTTTCAACATCATCCTTGTTAAGAATGAGGATTGGTTCACCCTACAATGTGAAATGTCAAGGTTAACATTTGGTTAACACAAAGTTCAAAGCTATAAAATGCATAATGTTTTATAAAAGCTATCCATTGACTGCTCAAATTTTGAAATAAACATATGCATAAAATATTCTGAAATAACTCAAATATTGCATTGGTACTATATATAATCATGCAAAGAAAAGATAGTGATGGCTTATGAGTTTCATCTTAAATATAAACTATAAATGTTTTTTACATACTGAAGATTGAGGATATAATCAATGAGGGACAATTCAGTCTTACCCAGGGCAGCATTTTCTCAACTTCAATCTAGTGTACATTGGAAGAACTCATTTCTTCCGTAACACATAATCTTCGTTGCAAAATTTAGACGTTTTTACCCTTACTTATTATTGTGACACTGCAATAAGTGATAAATTAAATGACATCCTTGTACATGTTTGTAAGGAAATTCTAAAATAAAATAAAATCTTATTGAAAAAGGACTTTCCAAACAGCAATTAGGAATTTACTATATAAATAATTCTAAACAATAATTATTTTTGGAATCTAGAATTTTCATAATGACTTCCCAAATAAATATTTTTTTCACAGCAAGTGAGACACTTGAGCAAATAATTGGTGTTGTTTGGGTAAATTTTAAGATTCATAAAAAATTTCTTCATCTAAATTGTAAAAAAGTAACTCAATTTTTATGTCAAATGTAAAAAAAAGAATGCATCCAAAATGTCAAGGAACTTATTTTTATTTATATTGAAATTATGATGATGCTGACAACAGTATTCATTATGGCATCCAAGAGTATGAAAATGTGAATAATTCACTGCAACATCAAATTCGATTTTAAATCATTGAACCTTTGGCCTTTAATCAACATTGTATATATTATACCATGAAGTTATGATATTCATTTCTTCTACTGTTGAAAATAGTTAAATTACTTATATCTTAACGTAATTATAATTAATTTCTATCTAACAAGTATTTATCCATGGAAAAAATAGAGCATAATCTTTTATATCACAATACAATAATGCATCCAAATTTTTCAATGAAAGCAAATTAATAATTTGCAGGCAGTCAACATGCTGTTAACAATTAGCTTTAGGAAAGTGTAGGAAAACTGGATATAATAACAGTGCTCTAACAATGTTATATGTTTATTAAAAGTAATTTTATACATCATACAAACTTTTGTAACTTTAAAATCATTATCATTCAAATGCAGAGTGTGTTAATCAGCAATTTTTTGGAAGTTATTTTACATGATTCATATCTTTAAAACATTTAATCTATCCACAAAACCATTTAAATTGCCATATATAGAGTGAATGTACTTTTCTTACTCTTAGACAATGTATTGATCCATTGATACACTGTTCCAATCAATAGAACATAACATGAATCAAAAGAAAGTTGTTAATCATAACAAGTTCATTTTATAGTAATGTTTTTTTCAGTTGTTTTAAATCGTAATTTTCCTAATCATATTTTCTCATGCTTTAAACTGTTGTACCATGTACTTTGAATTTTCTATAATAAAATTATATTATAGTTGTGAATTATCTATTATGAACTTACATGTCTGGATTTCACTTGCTGTAGAGCATTTACACATTTCTGTAGAAAAAAACATGTTCAAATGTATTTATTAAAAATTAAAGAACCTTTATGAGCATGCACACATACCACATTGCCCCACATTGTCACCTGGCAAACAAAATTTCAACAGATTCCCAAGTTCAAAGATTTATAACTACTACAAAAGTCAAATGATAAAAATTTCTTGTGGATATGCACATCTACATATTTTTTCCTTATTATCTATAAAGATTCAGGAAATTCTCTTATGTGGTTTCAGAGGAGTTGCGATAACAAACTGTTGCAGTAGTATATTAAGCCCAAAATTCTGTTGCAGTAGTATATTAAGCCCGAAATTCTAAGTTCAAAGGGGCATAACTCCTGTCGATATGAGCATCTACATAGTATGAAGAAGACCCATGGCACCCAATCATTGGGGACAAGTTTTCTAAAATAACAACTGTAAAAGACTACTTTTTCATAAAACAATATTTTAAACAAGAAGGATCTTGTAGTGAAGCTTGAGCTTGTGTTTACTTTTGAAGGCCTAACTGTGACTTTTCGATGAAGAAAAGCAAGAGAAGCACTGTTCCTTTTTGTAATAGGTTTTCTCAGGTGAATGAGGGATTTTGTGTGATGAATTACTAAACCATATCCATTCTTTTCCTTGATATCATTTCTACAATAGTTAATCTTAACAAACCTGGTATACTTTGTCCCTAGTTATAACCATAAGACAGTTAATCTTAACAAACCTGGTATACTTTGTCCCTGGTTATGACCATAAGACAGTTAATCTTAACAAACCTGGTATACTTTGTCCCTGGTTATATCCATAAGACAGTTAATCTTAACAAACCTGGTATACTTTGTCCCTGGTTATGACCATAAGACAGTTAATCTTAACAAACCTGGTATACTTTGTCCCTGGTTATAACCATAAGACAGTTAATCTTAACAAACCTGGTATACTTTGTCCCTGGTTATGACCATAAGAACTGGCATAGCTTTGTCAACTAAAGCTAATGGTCCATGTTTTAATTCTCCAGCTAGTATTCCCTCTGAATGCATGTATGTCAACTCTTTAATTTTCTGGAAGAAATACATAATAATGTTAAGTTTGACAGGCAGATCATAAATAAATGTTGAGTTGTTTATTCAAATAGAGATTCTTGTTGTCCAATTAAAAAAAAATAACCAAAATAAATCACACAGTATCTTTGTACATGTATATTTCAATAAAATCTATGCGCAGAAAATATGTTTAGATATTTACATGGCTACTGAAAACTAAAACCCTGGCCAGATGACAAGGTAGGAACCAGACTCCTAGATTTGGTACTCACCTGGCACCTTCTAAACATGTAGCCAAGTTATAACCTCCATGGATCACTTACATAAGATGTGATACTAACCAGACACCTTCTAAACATGTAGCCAAGTTATAACCTCCATGGATCACTTACATAAGATGTGATACTAACTGACACCTTCTAAACATGTAGCCAAGTTATAACCTCCATGGATCACTTACATAAGATGTGATACTAACTGACACCTTCTAAACATGTAGCCAAGTTATAACCTCCATGGATCACTTACATAAGAGGTGATACTAACCAGACACCTTCTAAACATGCAGCCAAGTTGAAACCTCCATGAATCAGTTACATTAGATGTGATACCTACTAAGGAACCTTTTTAACAAGTAACACAGATTGATACTTTCTAGAGCACTTTCTAAACATGTAGCAAGTTTTTAAACTCTATTCATTATAAAACAACAGATGTTATACTTACTAAGGCACCTTCTAAACATGTAGTAAAGTTATAACCTCTACCCATCACTAACAACAAATATTATACTTACTAAGGCACCTTCTAAACATGTAGCAAAATTATAACCTCTACCCATCACTAACAACAGATGTTATACTTACTAAGGCACCTTCTAAACATGAAGCAAAATTATAACCTCTACCCATCACTAACAACAGATGTTATACTTACTAAGGCACCTTCTAAACATGTAGCAAAATTATAACCTCTACCCATCACTAACAAACTCTTCTGTTTATATAATTCTTTGGCTAAGTCGTTTACTTTCTCATTCATCTCGAGAACGTCATTAATCATTTCTGAAAATATATATTGTAACTGTTTCTGTGAGAGTGACAATAGAAAAGTGATACAGTATCTTATAAAATATATTTCTATATAACTAGTACTATTGCATTCAAATTTTTAAAAGGTTCAGACTTTCCATGGTAACAGTTTATATCTCAATTTACCTCTGTTAGTGGAAAAAAATGGAGATTGTCATTTAAAAGCTGATGGTATATATCAATATAATATTTTCACTTATATAAAAACCTTTGTTTAAACTTACTGTTAATATAGTTTTCAAATCTTGTATGTCTAATTTTATATTAACTTAAACTGTGTTTCTTTTATGGATTATCAAATCTATGCAAATGTGAATAAAAACATTCCAACTTATATAGGAACTTTTGAATTATCAGACTACGAACCTGGTAGCTTTTTCAACCCCTGTATAATTTCTGTTCGTCTTTCTTGCATAGAGATTCTGTCCTCACACATAACTAAACCAAACATTACGAGTGAAATAAATTGACTAGTATAGGCCTACAAATAAAAAAAATTATTAATTATAGGCATTAGTAGTTAACTGAAGTTCAAATCTTATAAATCAATTTTGAATATGCAAATCAAGATAAAAAAGATATCAATCAACTCTTATAAAACAACAGAATTAGAGGAATTTATTCCAAATTTTGTTAAATATAACACAATAATAATAGAACTACAATTACAAACAATTTTAATTCTATAATGAAAATTCAGTTAACATGGAAATCTGGGTCTTGATAATTCATTGGTCATTTGTTGCTGTTTATCATATTTGTTTTTTGTTTATTTATTTGTTTAGCTTAATTTTGTTCTTTTGTTATGCAGTTGCACCACTGATCAAGGTAGGTGGATGGTTTGGGGCACGCTAACATGTTTAACCATCCACATTCTGTATGTGCCTGTCCTAAGTCAGGAGCCTGTATTTCAGCTGTATATTATATTTGTTTTTTGTTTAATTGTTTTGTACATAAATTAGTCTGTCAGTTTTCTCATTTGAATTGTTTTACACTTATTTCAGGGCCTTTTATAGCTTGCAATGTGGTATGGGTTTGCTCATTGTTGAAGGCCATACAGTGACCTATAGTTGAAAACTTCAACGTCATTTGGTCTCTGTCGGAGATTTGTCTCATTGGCAACCATACTGCTTGTTATTATTTTTATACTTACACTTATTTTGCATATATTTTAAAAGTTTACACCATAATGATAATGTGTACTTAATTTTTAGCTGATAGTAAAATAGCTTAAAACAAAACTTTTTCTGATACGGGTCACACAGATACATGCACACAGACTGGATATTAAAATTACCCCCTACAGTCTTAGGCGGGGCATAATAATTCTACTTATGGAATACTTTTTACCAAAAGAAAGAATCAAATCAGAAGAGACCACATTTTACCTTTGTACTTGCAACACCAATCTCCGGACCAGCATTTATGTGTACACCACAATGTGAATCTCTACTGATGGTACTGCCTACAGTGTTAGTAATACCCACAATTAGGGCACCTCTCTGTTTACAGTATCTAAGAGCCATCAATGTGTCAGCTGTTTCTCCTGTAAATATAAATATACAATTGACCTTTGTTTATCAAAATACAATGGAATAAACAAATCTGTTAGAGTAATAGGTGTGTGTTCTAGTAACTGAGGGTTCTGAAGTATAACACATAACAACAACATATACCTGTCAATATAATATTTAAACCTTACCTGATTGGCTGATAAAGAAGCATACATCATCTCTAAAGACAGGTGTCTGTCTATCGAGGAAATCACTGGCTAATTCTACCATCACAGGTAGTTCTGTTAACTCTTCCAATAACTGTCGTGTCTGAATAACAATTAAAGAAAATCAATCATATGCCAATGAGACAACTATCCACCAGAGTACAAATAACATGGATTTACTCAATTATATGTCACCATACGGCCTTCAACAATTAGAAAAACCTAATCATAAGTGTTTTTTTCTTCATTCTACAATTTTTTTTCCAGCTGCTTATTTGGGATAAGGTCCAACCATATTCAGTAATAAAAATAGACACCTGGTGTTAAATCAAGGACAACTGATGTCAGAATGGAAAATACTAATTCATCAAAGTAACAGCAACATTATTGCTATTCTTATTTTTGGCAGATTTGATGTTTTCAAGTCTTGTTTTTTTTTGTCTGTTAAAATTCATTATCATATGATTATCATATTTTGTCCCTTAGCTATCAATGGAAATCATTTTTGTATGTGCAAGGCCTTCAGTTTTTTCTTATCTTTCTTAACTGACAAAAACACCACTAAGGTAAATAGTTCTAAAAGATTTAAACAAAAACTTTAATATGTCTGTATATGTGCATATTTTTTAATCTTTATTCGTTTTACTTATAGCAACAAACTATGGTAACTGTGTATTTTTTGCATGTATGTGTGCTTTGATTTTATATCCATTCAACTTACAGCCACAGCACTATGGTAACTTGTTCCACAGGCTATGAATAATAAGCGTCTACATCTTCTGATTTCACTCATATAGTCCTTTATTCCACCAAGAATCACTTGATTTTTCTCAAAGTTTACTCTCCCTCTCATTGTATTGATCACAGATTCTGGCTGCTCAAAAATCTCTTTTTCCATGAAAGTTCCATAGCTCCCTAAAAGAATCATTTACCTTTATTTCCAACATAACTTTATTGCATATAAGTGTTTCATATGTTAACTTTACTGTCGCAAATTGAGTTTAGAGTACATCATTTTGTGAACCTCATTACATAATTTTGATACTTATTATTTGATTAACTCAAAGTACTGGAGTGCAATACTGTTATCTATATATTTTGAAACGAAATACTAGATTATGTATTCATTCTAATTCACTATAGGAAACTATGCCTGTGGTGTTGTCATTACTTTCATGGATTTGAGTCCTCTAATGGTATTTTTACTTCTAAAATTTACCAGCAATAAATCACAGCTAAGCTGGGTGAAAAGCTTCCAATACTACACATATATTTTAATTAATGAAGAACCATGAAAATTTAAGATCTTTATAGATGTGAAAAAAGGAACTGGAATATGCAAAATGTGCAAAAAATTTCCAAACATTAACTGGAAGTGCAAGCTTATATATTAAACATCCCAAATTCAGCTAAAGGAGCAGTTTATGCTAGTGGTGATGTTAGAGAATAAAGTAAGGAGGAGACCTAGTTTTCCAAGCCATTTTCTGTTTCTGAACTTAATATTTTTTTTTATCTGTTTCACCTATATGCTAAACAAAAATCCAGACAATATTGAGACTGGGAATTGTTCCTCCTTTTATGAAATCTTTAGCATTTACTTTTAATCTTTTAGTCTGAAGGGGACTAGATTTACCTTTCATAATTTCTTGTAATTCCAATTTAAGTGTGATGACATCTCTAACAGTAGATTCATCAAGGGTGCGTTTGATTCGATGGATAGATAAAGTTCCATTTTTAATTGCTGCAACGTCATCATCCTCCAGGAAGATCACTTGATTTGTGTGTTCTATTATTGCACTATAAAACAACATAGACATATTCTTATTTAGTCAAATTATAGAACCGTTATTAAGCAATGCAATCATTCTTAACTTACTAAACAGACATAAAAGTAGGATAATTCTACTGCCACTGAAATGTAAACTTCACCATAGACATTCACAGAATCATATGTTGACAGCATTATGGTTGACAAAGTAATGTACTAGACACAGTCATATACTGTAAACAGCGCTTTATATCTCAGAAACTATATATTGTTGAATTTACATTTGTGGCAGAATTAAGACAAAAACTGATTAAAATAGGTTAAAAGATAAAGCTGCATATCAAATATGTGAAAGCACTATTTTAAGGGAAATTTGGTTCTAGATTTTAAACAGGATGACCTAAAAATCCAAACACGCAATCTTAACCTGGCATTACTGGTGAAAATCATGGTAAATTTTTCCAGGATATCTTGTAAAAAAGAACAACAGTTTCTGCTCAGATATACTGTCTATACAAATACACAGCTTCAGCACAGGCATACAAAATGAAGGTCTCATAATAAGGGCAATTTTAGTAAGGTCATAAGCTTTTCATTTCAACAGGCAAGCTAAAAACAATCAAAATAGAGAGGCAAGGGAGTTCTTCAACCTGAGGCGAGTCTGTTATTCCCTGTACGAAGCTTAAGATTTGTTAAACCACTGTATTGTTGATTCATGCTTCAATATCTTTCATTACTTTACATGTTTAACCCAAGCAGAATCAAATGTTTTGGATGTAATTAATTTATACATTTTTGTAGCATGTATAAAAGGTGTTGTGTGGTAAATGTCATAGTAGATACCTAGCATCAGAAGCAAAGAAATACTCCACTTCACTTTGTTCCCCGACTGTATGGAATTCTGTTGTACTATCACATCTCTGTGGGTTGATAAAACCTCTGTGGTCTGCAAAAATATCAATGCAAAATATACTTTTATTTTAATAAATATATCATGCAGTTCGATACATTTATTGGATACTTAATCTCTGGTTAAGAATATTGTGGTTCAGTAAAGAAATTAAAATTTCTAAATTTGTATGCATTATTTGTGAAGGGTAATAAATTAAAACAAAGCAGTTTATAAAATTTTTTTTAAGAACATAAAAAGATGGAAAAATTAACATGTGAAAACGTTTGATCATGGTTAATATGTGCAACATTAATTTCTTTATAATATTCTGATTATTTTCCTGAATAATCACACGAAGAATAATTAACGGAAGCTTGCACAGCTAATTATGATTGTAACAAGCCAATTAATGAAAAGTATTACATGTATCTATTTGTTGTTAAAATTAAGATATTTTTTTCTATTTACTTTTTATCCTTCAAAGGTATCTGCTAGTCCATTGGAGTAAGTATTTCAATGTTGATGCTATTTCTTAAATATGAACTGTCTTAAGGGACATTTATTTTTATTGAAGGATAATTTTTTTCAAAGCAAATAAAAAATGTAATTTTAGATATCCACATATACAAGAGGATGCTTCAGCAGGGAATAGATGTCATACCCTCAAAAGAATTAAGTGATATGTTATAATTGGCACTTTAACAACTAAACTTACAATGCTCATCCAGAAATCAGTTTTTTACAAAACAATTAGGATATACTGATCAAACATCATTGATAAACAAAGAATACCTAAATTACCGACTTTAGTTTAAAACATACCGTAAGTTACTTAAGTTTGAAATAAAGGTGGGTTTTCAAAATTCCCCTCATCAGAAAGTTTTCTTAAAGTTATTCAGTCATAAAACAAAGTTAAGGTCATCAGATGGAGATCCAGTATTTTGTAAAAGGGGGCCCTCCAACAAGGCAACGTTAGGAGAGGGACTTGTAAACAGTCTATGCAATAACCATATTTATTATACTTCATGTCAAAATGCCAGATTTTGATTGGGTAATACGAGGGAGACAATTTACTCTATCCCATGGCAAATACTCTATTACCCTTCACGGAGACGCTTGCTCAAGTGTGCGCTTTAATAAATACGGATGATTGTTATGTACAAGACGACATAGTTTATTACTTTGAATTTGAAATTTAATAGACAGTATAAATAGAACATTCAGTATAATAAATTAAATAACACATATCTGAGATGGTGATAGAGCAGATTGTTACCCCTCGAAAAGACATTTTCAATCTTGGCTTCGCCTCAGTTGACAATGTTTTCTCGGGGTAACAATCTGCTCTATCACCCTCTCAGCTATGTGTTATTTATATAATGTAGCTTCAGAAGCACCCCCACCCCAACCCACCCCTGTTCATTATTATAAAAAAATTAAAGATGATAAAAAAAATCACAAGAAGATAATTTGAAAAACAAATCAGACATGCAACATGATACATGCAGAGGCCTGAGAGGGGCTGCAATACTGAAGTATTATTAATATATAACTATTGGTTTCTGTTAAATGTATCACAACACAAAATAATTTAAATCAGACAATTTATGAATGGAAAAGGAACAAATATTACAGAAAAATGTTTATTATAGAAAAACAATGTTCTAATTCAACTATTAAAAGCTTATAGTATTTTAGTATAGAGATATGTTACACCTTCTGGTATATAGTTCAAGATTTCAAGCAAAGACATATTGGTTAAATGGATGATATACACTTTATGTCATATTTTTACATGATTATTCTATGACTAGCCATTCACAAGTACTTGCAGAAAGATTGAAGACTGAAATGATATTTATTAAAATTTTCAATGACAAAAACGAACGTTCCGCCTAATAAAGCATTATACATCACCGGCATGTTACAACTTCTGTTTCATATTAAATCGATTACTTAAAACAGGTTTTCTAAACAATTTCAAAAATGTTACATTTTGTCTGATTTTTAATACATATGTTTAGACAAAATTTGTTCCCTACATTCAGTTTGTTTCATTGAGCCTAAATGTGGAATATGTTTTGTACTAAAGTTTTTATAGCAGAATATATTTTATTTCCCAACAAAATTATTTACACATAATTTTCCGACTCAAATAAACTACTATATAAAATATTTATGTAATAGCTAATAAGAACTTTTTAGTCCCCTTGCCTCTGGAGTTCAGGATTTCAATCTGACAGTTATAAATCAAATTGTCATCTAATTTAAGAAGGAAATGTGATTTAGCTAAAGTAATAATGTGATCAAATAAAACAAGTAAAAGCAAACAGAAAATTGAGAAAAGGACAAATGATAAACTCAAATTCTTTATTCTTAATTTGAAATAAACATGTGAATAATGCACAATGTCTCCATATTTTGACTATAGTCTGCATTTTATTGCGTATTCAAATAAATACAATGCAACGTTGTGCAAAGTATACCACCAATTGTTATTAGACTTAACAAAAAATTAAATGCTCAGTCGATAAAACAAAAATTCAAAGTACATGTATCTTCAAACATACAGTGACAGAATAGGTTATCATTCCTTAAAACAGAAGCTGAGTACTATGTAATGAAAGTTACAGATGGACACAGGGATTGTCGTTTACATCCATTCTTGGTGTGGGAGTATAAGAAACTAAATTGAACAAACAACAAACCTATACCATTCTTTTTGAAGTAGTATATTGAAGTATCATAAAAGTAGTGATAATTTTATTTTATCAATTCACATTAAAATTATCAAAGAAAAACTAAAGTTTTATTACATAATATTGATAAAAAATGTCTTACTGATTAACTAAGTATCCCTTTGACAGAACAAGGAAGTGACATATCTTTACAATAGCTGGGAAGCAGACCATAGGTTTAATCAAGAACATGTGTTAGATTAAATTTTTTTATGATAATCTTATTTAACAAAGATTACTCCATAAACTTCATAAAAAAAATATATCAGAATCTTTTAACCTGATAAAAAATGTCCTCTAAACACAAACTAGAGGCTCTAAAGAGCATGTGTTGCTCACCTAGATGTATGGACATCTTCAACAATGCACACTCCAACATTGCAGATTAGAATATAATTCACGACTAAAATCTCTTTTTTGTTGATTTTGTATTGCTGACAATTTTTTCTGTCTACTGCTACAATGGGTGTGTTTATCGACCTTGACTTCCCATGAGGGTCTTGCACAGTTGGTTATTTCTGTCTACAGTTTCTCTTTATCTTCTATAGTTTTTGCCCAAAACACAATTAAAAATACAAAAATCAACATTTAAGGCCAATAACACCTGTAAGAAGACAACTGACAATTTTGGCCATGTTGACTTATTTGTAAATTTTGTTTTGCTGATCTTTTTTGTTATTTAAACTTCGATTTATTCATTATAGTTTTCAAGAAAATAGACAAAAACGCAAAAAATTTGTAAAACAGTCAAGGGCAATAACTCCTATAAAGACCAAAGATTTCAGCAATAGCGACTAATTTATAGATCTTGCCTTGTGGATCATTTTTGCTATTTAAAGTTTCTCCCGAACTATTATAGGTTCAAGATAATAGGCAAAAACCCAATAAATTGGTAAAAATCATCAATAATTCCAAAGAAGAGTCGCCTGATGATTTTGTTCATGTTGGGACCAGGTGAGCTAATAAAAAGAAGGTGGATGATGGAAGTTTTTAACGACCTTGACTGGCTATACAGCCCTCGCACAGTCGCACAGTCGGCTGAAGAAGAAGGTGGATACTCACTTTTATTTTTATTTATATGAGCTTGTAATTTGATAAGAAAAAGCATGCTGATTTATTGACAAATGATAACAGCTGCAGTGAAATTACAGTTTTTTTAAAGTCAAATCAAACATTTACCAACAAAGAGAGTTGCTGTTTTATTCCATTTACTGAGCAAAATGTTAAAGAATTCCAAACAATATGCTAAGAATTTTTATTGCATTAATAAATAAGGTACATGATTGAGATTCAAAACAAAAATTGATGTAAAAGTAGATTTGTGTGATGTAATGTTTCTACTGTGTTGATCAAATAAATTTTATCAAAACAATTTTATTAAAACAATTCTATCTTATTATAATCATGAGGTAGTCTGTATTGAATTATAACAATGAAAAGAATTCTGAGATAAGTACCATGATGTTTAATGATAAATTAGGTATTTTAAAAAAAATTTAAAAGCTAAAACTACTTCAAAATATTCTTTAAAACAAAAAAATACTATTTCCAGTCATATTAATAATAGTCTGATATTGCTTTGACGTCAGACAGTCTTCTTGGGAACTTCCTTGGGCTGTGAGACATCAGAGTGCAGTCCATAAAGAAAACATGAAAATTGCAAACCTAGACTATACGGCAGCATATTTTTGTCTCAAAATCTTACAATTTCCATTAAAAATTAGATAAATAATTCACCATTCCTTATTCAATTTTCTCTACAAATATGATATTTTTATTCAAAAACTGCCCCTTGTAACACAAAAGAAAGCTTTACTCTTCTCATCCCTCCATTTCAGCAAACTCTGGGTAGTCAATGTTTCCATATTTTCCATATGAGCTGGACTCTTGATGTCCCACATAGAATGTCAAACAAAGTTTCAAATAGATCTCTGCAAGAAGAAGTCTGCACATGCTTTTACCTTTTCACCTGACAACCCCTACAGACTTGGTTTCATTATCAATTTCCGAAATACATCAAAATTTCCATAAAACAATATAATTCTACTCATAATATTGATTGATTGATTATTTGGTGTTTAATGCCACTTTCAGTAATATTGGCTTTTTCATGACTGCCAGTTTTTATTGGTGCTCTGAGAAAACAACCAATATTCAGCAGGAAAACTGTTGACAATCCAAGTCAATTAAGATTGGAGTCGAACCAAATGTGGGGTTTGAACAAACAACTTCATTGTTGACAGGCTAGTGATACAGTAGATGAACTACTTAGACCACTTGGCCACAGAGACTCCTCCTACTCATAATAAAGAGAATTATTATGTGTGTTGCAATATATAAAGACACTGTCTTGAATTCAAATCACCCCAAGGATGATTTAGGCCAACTTCAGTCAAAATGAATGTATAAGTTTCAGAGGTGGTTTAAAAAAAAATCATAACACTTACAGATGTCTGATGAATTAAATAGCTATGCTAATAGTGGCAGGCCATGTTTTTTGGATTTTCAAAATAAGAATTTCAAGAATAAATGTCATTTTCCTTTTGAGCCAAACTTTCCAGCAATCCATCTCATTTTTTATAAATGAGTAAAAATCTTAAATGGCAGTTACAATAAACTTATCCTAAATGTGCCTAAGATAATTCTGGTTTTATTACCAGTATGTATAATAAGTATTCTAATGTGTCAGATGTAAATTAAATAAAACAATCCACAATATCACCTTCATCACATGGTTTGGACTACCATTAACCAGTATGTATATATAGGATACATAAACCGATTTCTACAGGATGTAAATAATATAACAGTCCATAACAGGAGCTATGGAACTGGTGGAACCTAAAATCTACATACCATCACTCATGTATACTACACCATATAACCATAATAGTATGTCAAAAAATCAAAGGTCCATAACTCCTGAGATAATGTCAAATCCTTATCCCTCCCAGAACAAATAAATATAACTGTTTATTCCATTTGAAACCTTTAACTCTTCATGTCATAGTTTCTTTAATTGATAAAAGAATATTAAGATTATTATTATTTTACTAAGATTTCTACATTCCATTTATTCTTTGTTATTGGTGAAACATTTACAAATGATAATGTTATTCCTACAAAATGATGACAAAAAACAAATCTATGAATAATTCATACATGTGATAAATCAAAAGAAACAAGATAACTGCAAAAAATAATATTTGTGAGGTGCTATCAAATCTATAAATAGAGTTCCACAGACTATGTATTTCCATGGATTATTTTTGGAATCTATCACATGTATGTAATAATTAGGTTTATGAAGAGTTATTTCCCTTTCCATATTTTGATTTTGTGCTGTGTTTCAGTTTTGCATCAAAATAAAGCTGCTAGTGGTTACAATACAAAAGATAAGCAATGCCAAACTGTAATATGCTTAAGAAAAGCATTTACTGAGAGAGATAGGATAGAATACCTTCATTCTCGTCTTTAATAGAATCTCTACCTACATGCACAAAGTAAAGTTTTTATTTTACATTTTACAAATGCACAATTACTCCTCAACTTTAACATGTATCCAAATCTGGTTATATGTACATGCAAGTAAACTTAACAAAGTAACTATGTACAAAAGAGTTCTCCATGATCTGTTCTATAATGGTGCTATGCAATCATTAAATCCTAATGCCCATATATTTTGACTTAAAAACTGAAGTGTCATGGATAAAACTGATGTGCCCTCATGTCAATGCATTTTTTTTTCAACTTAACATAATCAGAGGCTGAAATGGTTAAAAGCATAAAAAATGGTGTTGGTTTTTCTTCACCTTCGCTAGTATTATAAAATGAAAGGGGAGTTTTTGCCATGTCTAATTTAATTGGAATACATAATTAAATAATCATTTCTACCTAGATAACCTAACAATAGCTGTACAAAAAAAAACCATCTGGACAGCTGTTGGAAGTCATAATGACAGAAGAACAAATGGGAGGACATGGGGTTATTCTACATATCCAAATCACAATGACAATATTATAAGGTGAAATTTTGAAACATAAACCCAAGTTTGCCCACAAGTAAAATTTCTTTCACTGCAGATTTAAGAATAAAATTAAAGTTTGCTTGTAAAAAGAATGCAAAGAATAGACATTCACAAAAATATCTTAAAGTTTATGGCATGAATAAAGCAGCAAAACTTATGGACAAGCATACAAAGAAAAACAAAAAAAAAGCTTGGATACTGTATGTTCCTGGTTCCATAATCATGTCTAAACAGACTACACCTATTATTACATTATATACATGTATATATAAGCTGTGCAAAGTGCCATATAGTCAATCAATGGAGAACCCTGATTTCACATATTTTTTAATATTATATATCTACATAGAAACAAATATCACTATATAAACCTTATCTTGAAGAACATAATTAAAAAGGTTTCTTTAAACTGGTAAATAAATTTTTATAGGGTATCAGTTTTGAATTTCCAGAATTTATAATAGTAATATTCAGCATAAAGGAGCAAATGCTCCTATATGTCGATGAAAACTAATATTTCATAAAATATTTTGACTTCAGGGGAGTCGATACAGTTTCAGGGGAGATACCTTTAAAGGTGATAATTCATGTTCAATTGAAATTTGCACAAAATCTCCTATCAACTGAGTAACAAAAAAAATGTTATGTAATTTTTAAATGAATAAAAATTTCTGGGGAGACATGGGTTATTTACTATTTGAAATTGGCTTTGAACTAACTTTCAGTAACTGTGAGTACTCTTTGATTTGTATTTGTGTCTCTTGCCTTATTAATAGTTGTGTTTCATACTGTGTGTCTCTTGTCTTTTTAATAGTTGTTTTTCGTACTTTGTGCTGACCTACTGAGTCCACCTAGCCTTTTCATCTTATTTTTACAGTTTGTTCTTATGTTGTGCTGTGACAGTAAGGTTAGGGGAGGATTGAGTGTTAATATCCCCCCCCCCCTTTTTCATTCTTTATATGCCTGTCCCAAGCTACTAAAAAGAAGATATCTTCACACTTTTATTTGTATTTATATCAGCTTGTAATTTGATTAGGAAAGCATGCCTATCCCAAGTCAAGAGCCTGTAATTCAGGGGTTGTTGTTGGTTGCTGTTAGCCATATTTAATTTTTGATTATTGATCAGGCCTTTGGTTTTCCCTTTTGTTTCAAAATTTTTTATGCAGGGGTCTTTTATAGCTTAATATACAGTGTGGGTTTTGCTCATTGTTGAAGGCTGTACAATGACCAATAGTTGCTTACATCCATGTACTTTGGTCTTCTTGACAATTATAGTAGATCTCTTTACTTTTATACTTGTTATTGTGTTTTTTCAAGATCTCATTTCTTCCTATAACATATTCTATTCCTTAAAATGGCAATACAATCTGAAACTGTGTCTACTCCCCTTAATAATTATTTCTTTCATCTCCTATGAAACATATCAACATATAACCGTAACATTAATTTATACTAAAAGACAAAACTTCTTCTATTTAAAGTAGAATTGATGAAATTGTATATAAATTTATAATAATGACTTTGTGCAGGATATGTTCACTACTGTACAGATATGGATACACATTATGAACATTAGTGTTGCAGCATATATTAGCTAGGGCCTAATTCAAGAACCTTTCTTGTAACAGCACAAAAAGCAATAATACCTTTCTCTTCTAACACAGTTCGACCTGCATGCACAAAGTAATAATATAATCATCAAATATGCTTAAAACATGCTAATTAGTAATCCCTAAACAGCTGATGCAACTTAAATAAGCTTCCATCAAGGGAAGTAACTTGCAAAAAAAGGAAAAAATATTTTATTAATACTTATTTAAATCATTATCAGGAAAATTTAAGACAAGCAACTGAAAACTGGGAAAATTCAGCTAAAAAACTGCATTGATAATACAATTAATAATGATAAGCTAACAGACTCTCTTGTTTTAACCTTCAAACCAAGTAAGAAGAGAATGGAAAAAAGTGTGTGTTATGTACAACACTGATACAATTGTGCAGATTATGCCGGTTTTTACACCTGTCTGACACCTGTAACGATTCTTACCTTTACTATATAACACAGGTATCTGGTCAGTTAATAGTTTGGCCTGGCTTTTAACACCAACAAGCAATGGACTTCCTCTCCTAAAATTTGTGAAGACATACGATTAATCCTACAATAATTACATTAGATGAATGTTTCATTATAATACGTTATTCTGATTGGCTAACTGCAATCTCGCATTATTCCTGAATCAACTTCATTACACAATGAAATTTATCATTCATGATGATACGAGATCCCACAATAAAGTGCACAGGTAAATTAAATAAAAACTTGATAAAAATCATGTTTTCATGATCCTAGCTAAAAAATGTAATTATAAGTATTGAATGCTTCTTTTTGTAACTTCATAGGGTTGTAAAAGTGTTGACCGTGCGCACATTTTTAGAATGAAGCGCTTCTGCGCTTCATACAAAATATACTTCCATCAAGGCTTTTACACCCCAATGAAGTTACAAAAAGAAGCATTCAATTCTTAAGTAAAGAAAACCCATTGAAGTACAATGATTTCATTTGATACGACAAAAGGCCTGTATTTTCAAATGAAACAGAAAGGGTAGAAACAAGCAAATATAATGTTAGACTGTTCGACTTACACAATTTATTTTCTCTGTACCAAAGTCTTTAATTACTAGGGTTTTTTTGGAGTTTTTTACTGGGTCACGTAAGTTGAAGGAATTTCTTCAATAGACAAAGTCAACAGACCTAATGGGACAGACTGAATACTTTCACAGCTAAACAGACTTGGCTGTGTATTATTAAACACTCACACAGCCAAATGGAAGTTCCTCAGCATGAGTAACTGCAGAGTTTCTGGGTATCCTATGAGCTCAGCATACCCAAACACATGTATTAAATTTCATGTCTTAACAAGTTCAGATGTGCTTAACTCTACTCAATCAGCACAGCCAGAAGTGTATTCATTAGTAAGTGTAGTTGAAAAGACAAATTAAAACTAATTTCTATTTTTCGACCAATATACTTCTGTAAATTCAGAAATTATTGAGAGAAATTGAAATAATCAATCTCGCAAAATTCTTCAAAAATCACAATAATAAATGCATGCAATAATTTCAGAATTTACAGTATTAATAATTAATGCTATTTGCAACAGTGCAACAAAACTAGTTAGAAAATTAGACAGATAAAATCAAGCAATTAGTCAGGTTGCACAAATGATTTTCATAATTTGAAAAATTTGTGAATCAAAAATTGCTCACATGGTGACTTAAAACCTCATACAAAATAATTATATTAAAAATCGCTAAACATAGTTAATTACAAGTGCAAATTACATGCAATTATTTGTATCAAATAAAGCTTTGCTATTTACATATATGCCTTTATATTGAGTCTTTTATCAGATGAAAATGGTGTTGACAATTACAGGTCTTAAGTAAGCTACCAGGTCATTCAATAGGTGACAACTTTCAAAATATCTTCTAATAACACGTTAGTAAGTGGGCTACTGGTGCATATTTGTCTTTTGAACTTACTATCTTAGAAAGAGATGTCAAAATGCTTTATGTACATATAAGTATTTAATGTTGGGTTTTAAAAGTGATCCAAGACAATAAAGATAGGTATACAAGATGTTCTTCAGCAGTCATAAAACCTCCCCCACATCTTAACATGCCTGTAAATCACAATAGCACAGAAAGCTGGGATATTGACATTGCAGCCAAAGTAGGTTATAAAATACCCAGTAAATATTGACACAAACTATTAAGGCATGTAATTTATTTGACATTAGTTAATTTATGTGATTAAGAGATTGTTTAGTATAAGGGCAAGGTAAATATTTGTTACTGAATATTATTAACAAAAACTTGTTTGTCAATTGTAAGGTAAGTACAAGTAAGCAACTATGTATGGAAATGTGTTTATGTGGAACTATTTTAAAATCTGAATATAAAAAAAGATTTGGTATGTACAGAAAAAGCATGTCCAAGAGGTAGAGTTGATTACTTGCATGAGTCTAGATGACCTTCAATCATAAATAAAGGCATCAAAATATCTAATCTTCTGTAAATTTCTTTCATTAAAACATATCTTCTATAATAAATATCTAATAGTCTGTCAGTGGAGTGTGAATTAGGGACTAGACTCTCATATCATGTCACCTCAAATCCACAGTCTTGCAAAATCAGCATTCAAGTAATATTGTGATAGCTTCTTTTTGAAATATGGTAGACCCTTGGCAAACAGCCCTAATTAGAAAACTAATAGTTCATATAAAATTCTATCACTGGAGCATTTAAGCGTCTTATAATTAACATGCTGCTGAGATACAAAGACATAAATACAAGTGTACCAGGGTTGTAAGTACTAAAACTACAATTAGATTGACAGGTGTGTAATAGTTTACCTTGCAGCTACACATTCTCCTGGGAAATGTCTACTCATCAAACATAGAGCAAATGCTCCTTCCTGAAATAAAACATAAATGTTACAAAAAACATAAAAAACGGAACTTCAAATCGTGGAATACAAAAAAGATACATTAAACCAACTTTTTTTTAGAGATTTCAAAAGATGATTTTTTTTTAAATATTTTACACTATATGAATAACATATAGCTGAGAGGGTGATAGAGCAGAGGAAACATTGTCAACTGAGGCTACGCTGAGGTTGACAATGCTTTTTCAAGGGGTACCAATCTGCTGTATTAACCTCTCAGCTATGCGTCATTAAATTTATTATATTGAATGTTCTATCACTAGTGTCTTTTACTGTTAAAATTTAAATTGAAACTTCTTAACTATGAAGTCATAACAACGTAACAGTTATTAGAAAAAACAACAGAATGGAAGCAAGACAATTTATTTTTATTTTGATAGTCTACGAAAAAGTTCTTCTGAGGCCAAAACGAAGACCATGAGCATTGTATTTAATTTAATGATGTAAATTCAATTCATTGTCCTTTAAATTATCGATTTTTGATTGGTCTGCACGAGAGGATGACATTAAAAAAATTGTCTCCCGATGAGCCATGGGATAGAGTATATTATCTCCCTCGTATTATCCAATCAAAATCTGGCATTTTGACGTGAAGTATAACTAGAGGCTCTCAAGAGCCTGTGTCGCTCACCTGATTCTACTTTGGTTTTGGAAATCATGTAAAAATAGATTAAAATCATAACAGATACCCTAATAATGAGTGAGGTTTAATATTGGTCCTGTAATTTAATAAAAAATCCTGGTGGCCATCTTGAACAGTAAATCGGCAACAAAGTAGCAACACTTCATCAGCACCTCATCAGAAACATTTATGCCATGTTTGGTTTCATTCCATTCAGTGCACCTCTAGAAGAAGCATTTGCATGTATTTCCCATAGGGTCTTATGTTAAAGGAAGTCCCCCCAACTGGCCGCCATCGTGGATGAAGGTATAGCTTCAAAGTAACAACACTTAGTCAGCACCTCATAAGGAACATTCATGCCATGTTTGGTTTCAATCTATTCAGTATGTGGTTCTCTAAAAGAAGACATTTGTATGTATTGTCCATAGGGTCCTTTGTTAAACATTGTCCCCAGCTGGCGGCCATCTTGGATGATGGATCTGCTTCAAAGTAACAACACTCGGTCATCACTTCATAAGGAACATTCATGCCATGTTTGGTTTCATTCCATTCAGTGGTTCTCTAAAAGAAGACATTTATATGTATTTCCCTTAGGGTCCTATGTTAAACTAAGTCCCCCGCTGGCAGCCATCTTGGACTATGGATCGGCTTCAAAGTAACAACACTTGGTCAGCACCTCATAAGGAACATTCATGCCATGTTTGGTTTCATTCAATTCAGTGGTTCTCTAAAAGAAGACATTTGTATGTATTTCCCATAGGTCCTATGTTAAACTAAGTCCCCCGCTGGCGGCCGTTTTGGATTATGGATCGGCTTCAAAGTAACAACACTTGGTCAGCACCTCATAAGGAACATTCATGCCATGTTTGGTTTCATTCAATTCAGTGGTTCTCTAAAAGAAGCAATTTGTATGTATTTCCCATAGGTTCTATGTTTAACAAAGTCCCCCGCTGGCTGCCATCTTGGATGATGGATCGGCTTCACAGTAACAACACTTGGTCAGCACCTCATAAGGAACATTCATGCCATGTTTGGTTTCATTCCATTCAGTGGTTCTCTAAAAGAAGACATTTGTATGTATTTCCAATAGGGTCCTATGTTAAACTAAGTCCTCCACTGGCGGCCATCTTGGATGATGGATCGGCTTCAAAGTAACAACACTTGGACAGCATCTCATAAGACATTCATGCCATGTTTGGTTTCATTCCATTCAGCGGTTCTCTTTAAGAAGACATTTGTATGTATTTCCCATAGGCTCCTATGTTAAACTAATTCCCCACGCTGGCGGCCATCTTGGATAATGGATCGGCTTCAAAGTAACAACACTTGGTCAGCACCTCATAAGGAACATTCATGCCATGTTTGCTTTCATTCCATTCAGTGGTTCTCTAAAAGAAGACATTTGTATGTATTTCCCTTAGGGTCCTTTGTTAAACTAAGTCCCCCGCTGGCAGCCATCTTGGACTATGGATCGGCTTCAAAGTAACAACACTTGGTCAGCACCTCATAAGGAACATTCATGCCATGTTTGGTTTCATTCCATTCAGTGGTTCTCTAAAAGAAGACATTTGTATGTATTTCCCATAGGGTCCTATGTTAAACTAAGTCCCCCGCTGGCGGCCATCTTGGATGATTGATCAGCTACAAAGTAACAACACTTGGTCATCACTTCACAAGGAACATTCATGCCATGTTTGGTTTCATTCCATTCAGTGGTTCTCTAGAAGAAGTTCAAAATGTTGAAAGTTAACGACGACAACGGACGACAGACGACGGACCCCAAGTGATGAGAAAAGCTCACTTGGCCCTTCGGGCCAGGTGAGCTAATAAAAGGGGTTATATCATGTAAAATTCAAACATTAACAATTTGAAATTAGAGAAAAATATTTTGTTTTTACTGTTAACATATTTTGATATCATTAAAGTATGGTAATGCACAAGATGATTTAAAACTCTATGATTTTCCAAGGTGTGTATAAAATTCAAATTTTTTATAACTATATTTTTAGTTCGTGATCAGCCATTTAAATGCTAGGATTTTGAATTTAGTGTTGTGTTTTCTTGTATAAAAAGGGCAGATAGATGCAACAAAATAAAATATCCATATCTAAATACATCGAGGTCAACCAAAATAAATATACTGCACAGTCAAATTGCATTGACAGTATAATCATTTATCATATACAGTCACTGACCGTATATCGCCTTATTTATGACGTTGACAATGCGTTCGTAGAGTTTTATTTATTACGTCATTAAAAGTACAGGTTCACAGAATTTTTATGACGTTCGCTCCAAATTAAATAAATTGCTTCCCTGAGAGCAGCTGGATACAACCGCAGAGGTCCAACCCTGAACAGTTGGGGCAAAAATGGACGCAATATTCGCGCTTAATACAGGTCTGAATTTGGATTGTAATTAAATATTTGACACATAAAAGGTTTCTGACACAGAATAACTGTAGTCAAAGAACTAAGAATTGGTTATACGATTTGAATTTATATTCAATTTTTTGCTTTTATGCAATACACTTTGCTGTTGCGAATTGAAACCCCCTCCCCCCCACAAAAAAAAATAAAAAATTTACCCCCCCCCCCCTTTTTTTTTTGCTTTTGTGCAATACACAATACTGTTGCATATTAAACCCCCCCCACACACACACACCCTTTTTTTTTGCAAAAAAAAATAATATTTGAAGAATTTTTCTTTTTAATTTCTGAAATCTGAAATGAGAAAAAATTGACCCCCACAATTTCTTTTTACCCCTAAAAAATTCTTTCTCTCAAGATATGGTCTTAATCTCAATTCAAATTTCCCAATGGAGTTTGCAACCATAATTACCCATTTAAATTTACCATAGTGCTAACTTAATCTATTTTATTCTATTCATGGCGTTGTCAGTTTGTTTTCGATCTATGAGTTTGAATGTCCCTCTGGTATCTTTCGTCCCTCTTTTATAATAGAATTTAAAATATGGTGTCAAATCTTTCATATGGATTTTTTTGTAAAAAAAAAAAGATGCAACATTTGCAGATATTTTTACTGGTCTTCCTTTATAAATATGCAATTCTTTAAACATAATTTAAAAGTACTGTAAGGGAGGTAATCAAAACATTGTATTTGGATTACCTCCCTTACACTGCTTTAAAATTATCTTAATTGTTCTTTAACCATTACTTTATACATAATTTAAAAGCAGTGTAAGGGAGGTAATTCAAATGATATATTTGAATTACCTCCCTTACACTGCTTTAAAATTATGTTTTGTACTAAAGTATTTGTCCATTAACCAGGACACCCTTGTTTTTCCCCCTTTTTTGCCCCTAATTCCTAAACGGTTTGAGCCATAACCCCCCAAAACAAATCCTAACCATCCCTTTGTGGTATGGAAACTTGTGGTATAATTTCAGAGAGATCCATACACCGTTCCACAAGTTATTGTCTGGAAACTAGAAAAATGCTTATTTTTGGCCCCTTTTTGGCCCCTTATTCCGTAACTGTTGGTACCATAACCCCCAAAATCATTCCCAACCTTCCTTTTGTGGTATTGAACCTTATGATTAAATTTCATAGAGATCCACTGACTAAAACTAAAGTTATTGTGCGAAAACCAATGTGTCTTCGGACGAAGACGACGCCAACGTCATACCAATATACGACCGCAAAAAATAAAAATGATGGTTTTTACCCTAAATATTTCCTTTGGAACAGTTGTAGGAGTTGCAGTATATAATAAGAATAACCATACATTGTGGATGTGTTTCCATAGTTACTTACCAACTCTTGGATTGTTAATTCCACACACTCCCTTTATGATAGTTTTTTTCTTTTTAATGATCATGAAGGTGTTTCCATGATTACTTACCAACTGTTGGATTGTCAATTCCACACATTCTCTGAATGATATATTGTTGTCTTTATGACTATCATAAATGTGCTTTATCATTTTAGCGATGACCTCTGTGTCTGTTTCTGATTCAAATTTATGACCTTTCTTTTCCTGAAATTTACAATTATTCTGGATTAAAAAAAGAAAATAAGACTTTACAAAATTGATAAATATGACATGCCTTTGGATTTACCTTCATCATTTATGTAACTTTTGTAAGCTATGAAGTGCCTTTGGATTTACCTTCATCATTTATGTAACTTTTGTAAGCTATGAAGTGCCTTTGGATTTACCTTCATTATTTATGTAACTTTTGTAAGCTATGAAGTGCCTTTGGATTTACCTTCATCATTTATGTAACTTTTGTAAGCTATGAAGTGCCTTTGGATTTACCTTCATTATTTATGTAACTTTTGTAAGCTATGAAGTGCCTTTGGATTTACCTTCATCATTTATGTAACTTTTGTAAGCTATGAAGTGCCTTTAGATTTACCTTCATCATTTATGTAACTTTTGTAAGCTATGAAGTGCCTTTGGATTTACCTTCATTATTTATGTAACTTTTGTAAGCTATGAAGTGCCTTTAGATTTACCTTCATCATTTATGTAACTTTTGTAAGCTATGGAGTGCCTTTAGATTTACCTTCATCATTTATGTAACTTTTGTAAGCTATGAAGTGCCTTTAGATTTACCTTCATCATTTATGTAACTTTTGTAAGCTATGGAGTGCCTTTAGATTTACCTTCATCATTTATGTAACTTTTGTAAGCTATGAAGTGCCTTTGGATTTACCTTCATCATTTATGTAACTTTTGTAAGCTATGAAGTGCCTTTAGATTTACCTTCATCATTTGTGTAACTTTTGTAAGCTATGAAGTGCCTTTAGATTTACCTTCATCATTTATGTAACTTTTGTAAGCTATGGAGTACTACATTGTATTTAATTACAGAAAATGCTTACTTAATGAGTGAATATAGAATGAAAATAAATGCTTTAAACAATGGACCTATATTACACTTCATCCTCTTATACTCTTATTAAAAATAATTAATTGTCAAAACCAAAATTAGAACCAACTTTCACAATGTTTTGTTTTTGAAACAATAATGTTGTCTGTTCTGAAGAAATTAATACAAATTGGTCCATTTAATGAAAAATTCTGTTTAGTGGAAACACCTTCTTATTTTACATTTATAATTGTATACATAAGTATCAAATTTAAATAAATATTTGAATACATTATTTTATTATACAAAATAAGTTAATCTTGGTGATGAATCAATTTTAAAAGATTTAATGCAAATAGGATGTAAGATGTTAAATGAGCTGGGAGGTGACTGGAACTGCTAATCTAAATTTTTTTAAAATAAAATGAATGTAACAGTCTGTTTACTTACTAGTAATGATTTAATATCTTTGTAATTTGTGATGATACCATTATGTACAACCATAAACTCTGTAAGAAAAAAACAGATATAACATTATTATGTAACTTTGAGAACAGTAACAACATTGTTTCTGTGTGGCTGGTTAACAATGCTAAGTTTTCAAGGACAACGACTCAGAATATTGGTGCAGAAATTGACTTAAAATCTGTGTAAAATTCCAAAAATTTTATAACTTAAAGAAAATGGTTGAGCAATTCTAAAATTTTGAAGGGCATAACAGAAACATAAAAAAATATCAAGCACCATTCATTTTCAACTTGTTAGATGTTTATTATTGAAAGGCCAAGCAAGATTTACATAAAATAAAATTTTCTTTTTCTTTTTCTTGGGACACACTAACCGTTATCAAGGTCAGATCTCTGTGGATGGCTGTTAACTGAGCTAGGCTCACCATGAGTGGCCCATCGTGTATGAGCAATGCCCACATGGATTTTGTATTCTTTTTCATAGTTGACGTTTTCTAATCCTGTGAGAAGCAAATAAAAAAAAAATTGATTAAATTTTCTTCATTACACCTTAATTTGTCATAAGTGAACACAACAATATATTTACATGTTACTTGTTATCAGTACAAATATCTATGAAACAAGAAATTCAATTTCTGTAAACATCTTTGTGTCCTTCTCATAAGAGACCTGCCATATGATTTAATAACACAAACATGTTGCTTCATATTACCAGTCTGTGCCAAACTGTTTAAGGATTTGTCTGACCGAAAAAGAAATTTGATGTTGTTCTACTATATTTTCAACTAAATAAACTGTTAACACAGAGATATGTCTAGCCTATTTGTTATTTTGATAATGCAAATGTTGAAATTAAAATTACAATACTTTAACATGTAAGTTATGCAAATATTCAAAGTCAATGAACCATGACTGAATGTACAGGGCTAAACAGTCTTCATGGTAATGAGATGTGCCAATGCTAATACAACTACAAACCAAATACCATTGACTTTTCATAAGTCGTTCCCTTTAAACAAATCTAAACACAAACATTAACTTGTAAACTATGTAAAAGTTTCAAAGTCAATCAACCATAATTAGGGGGTGGGGTTATGAAATCTCCATGGAAATGAAACTTGCAAATGCCAATACATTTGCATACCGAATATCATTGACTTAACATTAGTGGTTCATCTTAAACTGACCTTATCACAAACTAATACATGTAAACTAAGAAAAAGTTTTAAAGTTAATAGACCATGACTGAGGTGGCGGGGCCAAATAATCTCCATGGAAATGAGATATGCCAATGCTTATACAACTGCATACCAAATATCATTGACCTACCACTAGTGGTTCCCCATAAACTGACCTAATCACAAACTAATACATGTAAACTAAGCAAAGTTTCAAAGTCATTAGACCTTGACTGAGGGGGTGGGGCCAAATAATTTCCATGGTAATGAGATATGCCAATGCTTATACAACTGCATACCAAATATCATTGACCTACCACTAGTGGTTCCCCATAAACTATAAACTGACCTAATCACAAACTAATACATGTAAACTAAGCAAAGTTTCAAAGTCAATAGACCTTGACTGAGGGGGTGGGGCCAAATAATCTCCTTGGTAATGAGATGTGCCAATGCTAATACAACTGCATACCAAATATCATTGACCTACCACTAGTGGTTCACCATGAACTAGACCTAATCACAAACTAATACATTGTTGACGCCGACACCGCCGCCAGAAACAGCATATATATGTCTCGCTTTTTGACTCCGTCAAGGCGAGACAAAAATCTGAAAATTTCTGTCTGACTGAATGACTTTTTGTCTGACATTTTGTCAGTCAGACAGATTTTGGGATACACTGTATTACCATGACAATAAACTGCTTCGCTGAGCGCAGCTGGATACGCCCGCAGAGGTCCAACCCTGAACAGTTGGGGCAAAAATGGACACAATATTCAAGCTTCATACAGGTCTGAATTTGGATTGTAATTAAATACTTGACATATTATAGGTTTCTGAATAAATGTAGTCAAAGAACTTGAAATTGGTTATATGAATTGAATTTATATTCAAATAAAGATTTCTTCTTCTTGTGCAATACACTGTGCTGTTGCTCAATACTTAGTAAATCTGTTGTCAGACTATAAACAAATAAAGTTCAATAACTTCTCAATGTTATATCAGAAATTTATAAAAAAACTAAAGGGAGGTTATCTTAATAGATATAAATCAGTCATCAAAGTTTAATGAAAACTGCTCTAAGCACTTTAAGGATATTGTCCAAAAACTGGAAAATCCCCTTTTTGTAATGAATAAAACCCCATAAATTGTAAACTTATAGTCTAAAATTTATAAAAAACAAAAGGGAGCTCATGTCGATAGAAATAAACAATTCACCAAAGTTTCATGCATATTGGTTAAATTATTTTTGAGTTAATGTCCGAAAACTGGAAAATCCCCCTTTTTTAATTGAAAAAAAACCCAATACTAGGAAACTGAAAATCTAAAATTTACAAAAAACGAAAGGGAGCTCACGTCAATAGATATAAACATTTCATTGAAGTTTCATGCGAATTGGTTACAGCGTTTTTGAGTTATTGTCCAACATGTTGACGACGGACGGACGGACAGACGGACGGACGGACAGACGGACAACAGTATTCCATAATAATACGTCCCGTAAACGGGCGTATAAAAACTATATTATAATAATTTTCATTCTATTGTTGACATATATTTCTATTACATAAGGTTTATAACATTAGAATTACTTTGTATCATATTTAGATTAATTTAGTTCAACCAGGGAAAGTCTGTGTATCTGACAATAAATTTACAAGATAAGTTTGTTTATAAACTTACTTTTAATTTCATCTTCTAACATGGACACACGACCTTTACACTTGACCATCTGTATTTTGTTGTCATTTTGATCAATCTCACTTCCCTCAAATGCAAGCCCTGAAAAAGAAAAATATTACAAATATTTAATTTCAAACTGTGGCACAACATTTGAGTTATACTTTGTTAGTTGTTTTTGTGTTAAGCCTTTTCAATTGATTTTTATAGTTTGTTCTTATGTTGTGCTGTTACAACACTGTACCAGGTTAGGGAAAGGGTTAGGTGCCCAAAAACATGTTAAACCTCATCACATTTTGTATGTGCCTGTCTGAAGTGAGGAGCCTGTAATTCAGTGGTTTGTTGCTGTATATCATATTTGTTTATGATTTGAATTGTTTTACATTTGTCATGTCCCAGTCTTTTATAACTTGCTATCAATATGGGTGTTGTTCATTATTGAAGGCTGTACGGTGACTAATAGTTGATAACTTCTACATCATTTGGTCTCTGGTGGAAGGGTGTCTCATTGGCAATCATACCTCATCTTATTTAAGCTGAAACAAATGGACATTTATAAATATTTTAATCATTACTCTGGGAAAAGGATAATTTCTTCTGCATCAATATAACATTTCCAACACAAAATTATTTTTAGAAATTCTTTCCAAAAATATCAATTTCATTAAACTAATAATGAATATCAAGATACATAAAACCAATGGCTTCTTGTTCAATCAGTTCTCTCTAATGACTAATGACTCCCTACATTTTCAAAATATCAGTACTTAAAAAAATCTTATCTAACTTCTAATCAAAAGATAACTTTTTAAAATAATTTAGTGAATATTCAATCAGAATTTACTATGGGGCGTATTACATTTGCTCGCATTTGGTTATTGAAAATTTTTACATTTGCGCGCAGGTTTTGATTACATTTGTGCACATTCATTTTACAGGTAACACAGGTAAAAATAAAGGTAATTCATAATAAATACGACTATTAATTATTAATTTTCATAATAAATATGACTAAAAATTATTAATTTTCATAATAAACATGACTATACATTATTAACTTTAACAATATTTGTTAATTTAAATTATATATATTTTTCATATTGAATATAAAAAAAAAACATGTAACTTAATTGAGAATATTTCGGAGTATCTATTATTGTGTTTCCTAATTTTTCCAATAGTGATCGCTTTTAAATTAGTAAATAATATAAGTCAGTTTGTAAAGTTGCATCAAGGCACAAACATGAAGTTTCGTTTGTCAGATACAATTCGGGGAAGATCATTAGTGCACCGTAAAGAATTGCAAAGGCAGGATAAAAACTGACCAACATTCCACAGCCATTCTAAATGGTAACTGTGAACAAATGCATGTGTCCGATTCTAGAAAACTTGAGAAGCAGATTATTCGTGTGGTTATACATTCAACAGCCATTCTAAATGGTAACTGTGAACATACGCATGAGTCTGATTCTAGAAAACTTGAAACGCTGATTATCTGTGTGGTTGTAAAGAAAAATCGAAAGCCAACATAACTACTAGGCCTATGAAATTAGTAAATAGTTAAATAAATATTTTTACCTGTATTTACCTGTAAAAAACCTGAGCGCAAACATAATGATTTTTGTGCACAAATGTAATGCATCGTTTCTATGAATATTTACCAAAAAAAATGTATATATTAATTAGATATAGGAAGATGTGGTATGAGTGCCAATGAGACAAATCTCCATCCAAGTTACAATTTATAAAAGTAAACCATTATAGGTCAAGGTACGGCCTTCAACACGGAGCATTGGCTCACACTGAACAGCAAGCTATAAAGGGCCCCAAAAAATTAAACATAGTTTTATATTAAATATTTAATATGTTAGTTTTTGTATTTATCATGGTTTACATCAAAGTTCATGCAGTTTACTTATATTCAAAACTAATGAAATATAAATAGATCAGATAAATATTCATTAAAAAGTTTTAAATTGGTGAAAAAAGTTACCTGCTGAATCATAGCCTCTGTATTCCAATCTTTTCAAACCATTTATCAAAATCTCTAAAATTTCCTTTCTTTTTGCTGGCACTAGGAAATTCAAATAAGCAAATATTCCTGCAATGAAAAACAACAAAATAAATAATAAATTTTCTTACACTAAAAAATCATTGATCAAATAGAAGTTTATGATTCCTTGTCAATTCTTATAATTAATGATTATATATGATTTACGAAATGAAAACCATTTTGAGAGGGTAAAACTTGTCTTTTGAAATACAAAATTTGAACAAATATAGAATAAAATATCTGACTGATCAAACCTACCCATTTATAGGTTTGTTACCAGAAAAAACAACATGTTAAATGACTGGTTTGTTGTTTTTTTTTGCATTATGATTACTTTTGAAAAATCATATATTACTTTTGGTCTAGGCCGGTGTGTAGCACTATGATCAAATTCCTGCATCTGTTTAGGAAAGTGCATCAGTAATTATAAAAATCATCATCTGAAAGATTTCATGGTTTTCAAAATATCTACAGAACAGACAATGAAAAGTACTTTCTGTTTTAGAATGTCCTATAAATTATATATCTGTCTTAGAATGTCCAAGATATTTCACATCAACTAACCCTTTTCTCACTTTCATACCTGCAGTATTGCTGAACAAATCTGTATCCATTTCAGCAATTACTCTTATTTTTTTTTTAGATTTTTTAAATATAAGTCCAAGACAATTCAAGTTTATATTGTATCGAAAATAATAATTTCAATAACCAAATTCTTAAAGAAATCTTCTGAATGCAAAATCAATTTTGAAGAACAACTACAAAAGTACTTCAAAATGTTTACAAAATTCCAAATTTATCCTTTTTTCAGCAGTTTTTATTACAGCTGTTTGCTGTTAGAATTAAAACTGTAAATATCAAATTTCAAAAAAATTGTATATTGGCAAAGGTTTTCACTTAAGGAGTGAAATAAACTCTGGAAATTCCTTGGATTATCAAATTCATAGAAAGTGTATATGTAATGCTACATGTACATGAATGTTTATTTATGGCACTTCCTGGTTTGATTAGACAATAGATTTCGCTGAATATGTTTAGCCAATGAATTAAAAAGAATTATAGACACATATGTTGTGTAATCAAATACCCACTATGAAGTTATGAACCATATACAATCTGGGTATTTAAATTCAATACAGTAGACAATCTTGATTGAAGTGTTAAATAAATTAATGATATGAACCCGGTAGTTTGCAATGTATTGAAAAAAACAATTTCAGAATTAGAATTTAAAATTTGTGAAATTAAACTGACATTCATTGCTTAAGAATAATTAGTTGATCAACTAATTGTACTGCAGATGATAGAAGTTTGGGTCTATTTCATATCTATAGAAATTCATATGAGCTAGCTAGCCAAAAACTAGTACATCGTTGATATACTCGATATACTCTGTTCGGTTATTTTAAATTGTGTTAGTTACAAAGCTATTAGATTATTAATATCTAACTAGTCTTTTTAATTTCTGTGTTTGCATATTTCAAATTAGTAATACCCTCCAGCAAAACAAATAAAATACTAATCTCCTTATATCAATCACCTCCTAGGGAGTGGGGATACTTAAATTAATCATTAGTTTGAATATTCCAAATTATCACTGAGTACCATGAAAGATTAAAAGCAAAGATAACAAAACATATAAGTGAGACTGAATGATCTTGATCAAATAAAACAGAAATATTATCAAGAAAAAACCCAAAAATATAACAGTCAACTTCTGATAGGTTAGAATATATATGGCAGTGATATTAATAGTATACAATTTTATTTGCATGCTATATTTGCATGATTGCATTAATTGCAAGTCTACAGCAGTCTATTACCGGTACATAATTTTAAATGGGAGTTAGATGATTTTTTAGATTTGGCTCTACATGAATGAATAAAAAATTAATTTCATTTTCTATTTATGTATATCCAAGTTGTGGGGACCTGCAGATTTCTTTTGAAATGTACGCTATTCCTGCTAGCTAGTATAATTCTTATATTCTACTTCTTGTCTATTTCATCATGGATTTCACAATAAGTCAGACCAATAAGGAAAATTTATCACATCTGTTTATCTTCTCATCAGAAAATGTCACGTGGCATACCCTCACAGTGCATTCTTTAAGAGTATATTCTAAACATTAACTTGGAGAAAGTAGTGACAAATAATTAATCTGTAGCTTAGGATGCCAAAAAAGATTCCTGTTCAAATTCAAAAATCAATTAATACATTTCATTTACAGGTAGTATCCCTGCCTTTCTAACAAGGGAAAGTGTCAATGAAACAGCAATCAGACAACTAGATTTAACCAAAAAAGACATCAAGATCCCACAATCTCAATAAAAAAGCATGAACAGACAGAAACAAACAGATTCCTGCAATGGAACAGGCACATAAACAATGGCAGGGTTAAACAGAAACAATCACTGATGAGATTCCTGCAATGGGACAGGCACATAAACAATGGCAGGGTTAAACAGAAACAATCACTGATGAGATTCCTGCAATGGAACAGGCACATAAACAACGGCAGGGTTAAACAGAAACAATCACTGATGAGATTCCTGCAATGGGACAGGGACATAAACAACGGCAGGGTTAAACAGAAACAATCACTGATGAGATGCCTGCAATGGAACAGGCACATAAACAATGGCAGGGTTAAACAGAAACAATCACTGATGAGATTCCTGCAATGGAACAGGCACATAAACAATGACAGGGTTAAACAGAAACAATCACTGATGAGATTCCTGCAATGGGACAGGCACATAAACAATGACAGGGTTAAACAGAAACAATCACTGATGAGATTCCTGCAATGGAACAGGCACATAAACAATGGCAGGGTTAAACAGAAACAAACAATGGTGAGATGCCTGCAATGGGACAGGGACATAAACAATGGCAGGGTTAAACAGAAACAATCACTGGTGAGATTCCTGACTTGGAACAGGCACATAAACAATGGCAGGGTTAAACAGAAACAATCACTGATGAGATTCCTGCAATGGAACAGGCACATAAACAATGGCAGGGTTAAACAGAAACAATCACTGATGAGATTTCTGCAATGGGACAGGCACATAAACAATGGCAGGGTTAAACAGAAACAATCACTGATGAGATTTCTGCAATGGAACAGGCACATAAACAATGGCAGGGTTAAACAGAAACAATCACTGATGAGATTCCTGCAATGGGACAGGCACATAAACAATGCAAGGGTTAAACAGAAACAATCACTGATGAGATTCCTGCAATGGGACAGGCACATAAACAATGGCAGGGTTAAACAGAAACAATCACTGATGAGATTCCTGCAATGGGACAGGCACATAAACAATGGCAGGGTTAAACAGAAACAATCACTGATGAGATTCCTGCAATGGGACAGGCACATATACAATGGCAGGGTTAAACAGAAACAATCACTGATGAGATTCCTGCAATGGGACAGGCACATAAACAATGGCAGGGTTAAACAGAAACAATCACTGATGAGATTCCTGCAATGGGACAGGCACATAAACAATGGAAGGGTTAAACAGAAACAATCACTGATGAGATTCATGCAATGGAACAGGCACATACACAATAGCAGGGTTAAACAGAAACAATCACTGATGAGATTCCTGCAATGGGACAGGCACATAAACAATGGAAGGGTTAAACAGAAACAATCACTGATGAGATTCCTGCAATGGGACAGGGACATAAACAACGGCAGGGTTAAACAGAAACAATCACTGATGAGATTCCTGCAATGGGACAGGCACATTAACAATGGCAGGGTTAAACAGAAACAATCACTGATGAGATTCATGTAATGAAACAGGTACATAAACAATGGCAGGGTTAAACAGAAACAATCACTGATGAGATTCCTGCAATGGGACAGGGACATAAACATGTGGCAGTATTAAACTCACAGCAACAATCACTGATGAGATGCCTGCAATGGGACAGGGACATAAACATGTGGCAGTATGAAACTCACAGCAACAATCACTGATGAGATGCCTGCAATGGGACAGGGACATAGACATGTGGCAGTATTAAACTATCAGGGACAAGAGATAAAATATAAACTTAAAGACAAAAATAAAAATCCAATTAGAAACACCACTTAATTCAATTGTATCAGTATTACAAAAAAAAAACCAACAAAATGTTATACAAAATTTATTGATACTATATCAAAGAATGCTTGCAGTTACAGACAAAATAATTGAAAACTACTAGTAGTTGAAGTTGAACATGAAATCATGCCTTTTATCAACCACTGTAAATCTTATTATTCTTATTACACCATAAACAGTATACAGAAAACATGATGTAGCAAAATAGTACAAGAAATTCCTTAACCAGGAAAGGAAAAGGATTACCATTTAATTCTATGTGTCACTGTAAGTAATGCCTGGTAGCACCCTAGTTTGTGAAAATCGAAGTAATGTGACTGTTTAATAATCTGCACCAAAAAAATGTTTTATTAAAAATATATCTCTGTATTTTCCTTCTATTTAAATTATTTTGTGTTTACTAAAGAAACATGATGTTTAGATTAAATGTTAGGTCATTTAAAGCCTGACCTGCTAAACAATCAAATACTTTTAATACTAAGGCTTCCAAATCAATTGTTAAGCTAGTTCTAGGAAGCTGGTATTTTTCTTTGACATTCTCAGGTTCTTAGAAAATGAATGGAATTGCCAAATTATTATTAATACAAACTATACAATTCTGTAAGGTTTTTTAATCAAACATCTTATTCATATGGTGCCAAATCAAGTAATCTTACTTTATTTCAAAAAAGATTCTCAGAATTTTTCGAGGTTTAAATGTACCACAATGATAAACATGATAAAATATAATATCATAATATTCTCAGATTAAAACATACCTGTATGCTTTACTTGTATCAACATATTATTAGATTTTGTCTTTTTTATAAATCGTGACAGATGACAGTATATGTACACGAAGAAATATGTGACAAAATAATTCCATGCTCAGTAGGTATTTTAAAAATTCAAAGTATTGTAAAACAGGAAGCGAGTGCAAGGCAGAACTGAAAATCCTGCATATGGTACAGCTGATCATTATAATGTTCCAAGCCAACTATCAAATTATACCATAATTGAGAAGCAGAGAAATATGCAAACCCAAGCCAACTATCAAATTATACCACAATTCAGAAGCAGAGAAATATGGAAACAAAATTATTTGAAGGACAGACAATGAGCAAGGTGAAAGCAGTATACTATCCATTCTATCATGTCTATGGGGTATAAATATTAAAAGATTCAGTTATTATTAGGAATTTTTTTTTTAACTGTAAGTTATATGACAAAGAATGGTGTCTACAAATAGAGAAGGGACTTCACAAAGTAAACTTCTACCATTTTTAAATACTTTACTAAAGCAGAACAATACTTGTTATATAAAACATTTCTGTTTAGTGTTATTGTCTACATGATATGTAATATACTTCTGACATGCTACCTGACTTTAAAATATTTTCTTTAAGAATGCTATGTAATAAAGTCACTTTAAATAGACAATTTACAGAAATTTGACCCAAAAATGCAATTATCTAAATTATAGATCTTGAAAAAGGTAAACTTTTCTCAGAATTTTCTCACAATGGTTTATCCTTTTTATGAAAAAAGATAATAATATATCGGTATTAAATCAGTCTTACGTGAACAATAGACAGACAATACAATATAACTGTTTTAAATAGAATTGTTAAGAAGTGATGGGAGATCATGGGTAGACATATTCTTATTATATAATCAGTCAAGACATATTGTGTTACGTCAATACTCAGAATAATAACTAACCAACTTCAATACAATAATTGTATTATGAATGAATAGAAAAAGATAGGGTTAAAGTTCAACTGAGACAGCAATTGCAATCAAACAATAAAAATATGGTATAACCTAAAAATGCTTGTTTAAAATACAAATGGACAAAATATAATAGGGTTGAACTAGGCAAGTCCTTAAAAGCCAGCTCAGCAGTTGTATGCATCCAAGTGAGCCCAAATATCAGAATTAACAAATAAAATGGACTAATAACACCCTTAATACTCAAAAATAAAACTACAGTATCAAAATTTACATTTATACCTAGGAGATTGTTGAATATAGTAATTCAACATTATCCAACATGTCCAATAATATTTTTTTTTAAAGAAGTTAATGTTGAGCAAGGACCAAACATATAATTTTGCATGAAAAATAATTAATAAGAAAACTATTCTAAATGATTAATAATGGCTTGTGAACTAAGGTTCAGTTTGTAAAATAATTTTTATAAAAAAACTAAATTTTGAATGGAAGTCAAAGGTTAAAATACAGGAATAATTGGCCAATAGAAACAAATTTGTATTTTTTTTTCAGATAAAACAGTCCTATATTCTATTTTAAATTATGAATTGCTGTTTTTTGCCATTATCACAACAAGTATATTACTTTTTATACATCGTGACTTGGATGGAGAGTTGTCTCATTGTCACTCATACCACATCTTCTTATTTATATAGACAGGTGACAGCCAAATTTACAGAATTGGTATTTAAAAAAAAATCCTGGTTTCAAACAAGGGGAAACTTTTAGCTTTTCTTGGTTTGGTTTATGCAAAGATTGCTAAATATATAACATTATACTATATAACTCTTAAAATGATAAAAATTCCAAAACAAATGATATTACCATTAACAGACATATGTAACACAGACAAACTGATTCATGAAATAAGTAATAACTAGCTTTTTAAAACTTTGAAATATCTTATGATTATCATTATTTAAGACAATTCACTTGTTGAAATTTCTAAGTGTTTTCAGCTTTTGAATTTGTTAGGCCAAATAACTACATGTATATGCACCAGATCACTTTAATAAAATGTCTATGCTACATCATTTGTGCTGTCATGTATGTTTACTGCCCACACAAACAAACTTCCTTTAACGGAGAGATAACATATAACTTATCATTACATCACTGTAGCTACACCTTTAATTGGACTACCTTTTAATGAGTTGGAATTAACACCCTTGTTGCTATGATAGCAATGGTCATGACGGTATTTCTTCAAGAGAAGATGATGCTTGTTTACCACTATCTTTGATCTTTGACTAGACATACAAGGGTAGAAATTTTAAAGTTTCACTCTTGAAAGTCAGGACGGGTTGATGTTTTCTTCTTTTTTGGGGGCAAATCTGAACTTGAAAAATGTGGGATTATAAAAAACACTGTTTGCTAGATGCCAAAATATTTGTGTGTGTTTTATACCTTTCTGGCTCAGCTAGGGAATACATTCAACTTGCAATGTTCACACTTATCTATATGTAGCTGGTGTTTCCTTTTACGACAATACATGTACATGTCACATACAGAAAACATGTTAACTCAATTTATTTCCTAATATGACCTGTCATTTATCAACTCACCTACATGTGAAGGTAAAAAAATAGATAAACCTTTATTTTCTTAATTTTGTACTTCTTTAATAATAAATGACATTGTCATATGTGAATCTTTTGTTTTTCTAGTTCATTTACAATAATAAGATAATTGTGACTATTGTAAACTTTTTCATCCCTTTGCCCTTCCTGTTTAATACCAATAAAACAATTCAAACTGATTGGTTTACAAAATGTATGCATTAAAAAATGCTGACCACAATTTATGAAGTTCATTCATTGGATAATCATCAATATATTGAATATATACAACTGGTGTTTGATATTGATCAAAGACAGATGCTACAATGCCATATATGAACAAAAGATGTGAGGTATATTTCAATGAGACAGCAACCCAACAAAAAAGTACACATTCCTTTTAAATCTTTGAAGAAATTATAATTTCTCAAAGATGTTTGGGAAACCTATCAATAATTCAAGTTGCTCAATGATGAAAAATTGATGATGATGAGTGGGTACTGGGTAAATTCTATTAAGAAACTGGCATGTTAACTTACTAATCAACTGTGAGGAAATAGCTAATATTTCATCTTATTTCCACCAAAGGTCAAACAAAAAATCATGTATCAATTACAAACCAAGAAAATTTGGGTAGGTAGGTTGAGAAAAATATATTACTTTTTTGCACATTCTATATACTTTAAGAAAGGAAAACATCTAAGCTTTGAAATTAATTGAAAACAGCAATAAAATGTAAAATGTAATAGTGCAAACAATAATCTACCATGGCATGTGCAGGAGTTTCTTTAATTAATCTTGCATTATTGTCTGTTTTCAAAGATTCAAAATCAATAATGCTTCCATCAAATTCTGAATTTACAGCATTCAATTTTGATAAAACCAGAAAATCATCTGCAAGAGGTAATCAAAGAACAAATAATGGTGATCTCTTCTGAAACAGAATGGAGGCTCAGTAGCTTATTTAAAGAAAGACAGGTCTGCCAAGTACATTTTTTGCACCATCTCATTTTACAAAAATATACAAATTTTGTGCATTTCTTAGACAGAAAAATAAAAACAAGGAACACGAAAGGAATATAAACGAATGAAAATGTTTGAAGCAGATAATTAAATATTTGGCTTAGCATATCCATCTTGTACAAAGCAGGGTTGATAGATATAGTATATCAAATTAACCTGTTCTCATCCTAAATATGCATGTAATAATTGCCACTGGACATTAAACAGCCATCCATCATAATCAACAATGGCCGTCATTTAGCAGATCATGTCAAACAAGAAAAACTTATTGGAATGGATCAGTCATTCTCAACTTCAATATTAGCTGCCACTTAAGAAGTTGATGTCAATGGCTGATCTTTGTTTTGCCTCTGTTAAATTTATTCACAAATTGTCTAAACCTAACAAATGTATGATATGGACATTTTTCTTTAATTCTACCATTGAACATAACAAATATGTTATGATCACATTGCATATTCATATTCTAAAAGGGAGCATAATGTAATTGAATTACTCCTTTAATTGAGATCAAATAGGCTATAGCAACTAAAACATTAAATCTTTCATCCAGTATGCTTGGGATTAAAATAAAATAAGAAGTTAATACTCTTTTTCTGCATTGAGTAAATCTGTTGCAGAAAACTCAGTTTTGCTAGTTTACAAGCACCTGTAAATTCATATAAAACTGTTTAAACTGTTTGATCATATATTGAACTTAAGGCTGAGTCAAAATAACAAATTAAACCCAAGAAAGTGCATTGGCAGATATATATGTAATCATATGTCCATTCTGATGCAATAGATAACACTCAACACACTGTACCAATTCAGTTCAAAAAAGCATGCAAATGAATTTTCTTTTAACATGTTTAAAATGACACCTTTCATAAACATTTTTAGAAATTATATCCTCCATCCATAGATATCATTTAACAAATTTAACATGTACAGATATTATATACATGGGTATAATATATATATATTATGTATAGAATATATAATGTATAATACATATTATGTACCTATTGTATACTGTAGAAACATAAATGCATGTATGTAATACTTAGCACGATGAGTGGCCACTATTGTCATTTTTAATTGTTGCAATACAATATATATACAACACTATATATTTTAAAAACAAACAAATATATCTTTATATGATTAGGTTATAATATTTTAAAATAAACGTTGCAAATGTTTGTGCACATTTAAAAATAAAAATGATAAAAATCAGTGAAATCCAACTTGGTTAAATGTTTATGATGAAACAAGGAAAAGATTGAGATGTCTGATGAAACCAGAGACATATACATTCAGGATATATAGTATATAATTATATGTCTGATGATACAAATCAATAAATGCATTATCAACACTACAATTTCAAGACAAAAATTAATTTGGCAATGCCTAATCTGTAACACAGTTAAGTTTTTTTTAATGAATGAAAACATTAAATCATTTAATAATAAAACAAATTGTTAATTTATTGACTTACCACACATACTACCGTTCTGTTCTGTCAAGCCCAATACACAACACTGTTTACCTGTGCCACGTTTTCTGATATAAATAGTTGATCTGGTACCTGAATAAAAGTCATACATAAAAAGTAACCAGTTTATCATATCCCTTACGGTATTTACCAATTCATTTCAATTTCGTTATATAACTATTTGACACAAATATTATGTAATCGGGGAAAAACAGACAGAATGTATTAAGATTTATTGATCCATGAAAGTTTAATTGATAAAAAATAAACAAACTTCTATATTTTTTCCTGGTTATAAGGGTCTGTTGATAAAAGACGGCGTTGGCACTTTTTAGACGATTTTCTTTGTTCCGTTTACAGGTGTGTAGGGAAAGAACCTACCGAGTAACTATGAGTAAACGGAAACATGACGACAGTGAAAACCCCAATTCAGAATATAGCAATTTCTTAATGGGTAAAGAATTTTGCAATACTATAAATGGACAAAATAAAAGTGCATGTGATAGACCTATGGCTATGGCTATGATATTCATGTAATTTGGTTATGTTTTAGGCATTCCAATAGAAAATTGTATCTAACTAGTTTTAAATACTGATATATACTCAGTGGGCATCCAAATCAGTAAATCGCTCAGGACACTGAATGTTTAAGTGTCCAACTCCTACTCTATTTATAAGCTCCCTGCTGTCTTTTTTTTTACTATCTTAATTTATGATTAAGTGCAAGACCACTCAGACCGTCTACATAAAAAAACAACTTTGACCGTCTATGAAGACAACTTGAACCGACTATTAAGACAACTCGGACTGTCTATGAAGGCACTTGAACCCTCAAGAAGTTAACTTGGACAGTCTATACATTGCTATAAGGTCTATTATGTCAACTCAGACATCCAGCTGGGGTTTAAAAAACACTCCCCATTCATAAATATTATTTTTTTCTAAAAGACAAATCCGACCATTTACGAAGAGAAGTCAAGCCATCTATATTTACAACTCAATAAAATTGAGAATGGAAATGGGGAATGTGTCAAAGAGACAACAACCCGACCATAGAGCAGACAACAGCCGAAGGCCACCAATGGGTCTTCAATGCACAAATTTTAGCTTCACTAGATATTTTGTGTTGACATGCATCCATCTATTATTGAGGATTGTATATGACACTATAAAAATAAGGAAATCTTGTATGATTGCCAATGAGATAACTATACACCAAAGTTCAAATGAAGTAAGCAATTATAGGCAACTGTACAGCCTTCAACAATGAGAAAAACCCATACCATATAGTCGGCTATAAAAGGCCCTGACATGAAAAATGTGAAATAACTCAATTGAGAAAACTAATGGCCTAATTTATAACAAAACAGACCAACATGAACCAATGACAACTAAACTATAGGCTCCTGACTTGAGACAGGCACACAAAGAATGTGGCGGGGTTAAACATGCTTAAAGTCACCAACACTCCCCGTAACCTTGGACAATGGTGTAACAGTACAACATAAAAATCAGTTGAAAAGGGCTTAACTCATCAGATAGATACAAAGCAGAAAAACATCTAACAAAAAACATAGACTGGACATGGCAGGGTATTTATACATTCCTCACAACAAAAAAGACACAAAGTACAGATCTGAGAGTACTCTCAGTTACTGACAGCTAGTTCAAAGCCAATAACAACTAATAAAAAAATCATTTGTCTAAGACTAAAATATTAATCAGTACACATCCAACATCCAATGCCAATGATTAGTGTTATGACGCCATTAACAGCCAGAGAAAAAGATGACCTTGTGCAATGCCGAAATATAGGTATCGACAGATTCTAGTATATTTGTTTTGTACCGTGAATGTGCATATGTGTATAACAATAATATTTAGTATGGTTTTAAACTGCTGATAAGAAAATGGATATTTATACCAATAAAAACAATATTTTAAGAGCTAATTACAGTGTTGAATTGGTAACCTTTTAGAATAAGTTTATTAAAGGGATAACATAATCCAATTTTAACTGAAAAATACATGTACCTATTAATGTCAAAAGTGTTTAGCTTAGCAAATTATTATAATATGTAATTAAAAGGTTTGAAAATCTTACATATTATACTCGTTACACACAGATAGATTTGCTCTTTATTAGTGTTTTAAATGTGTGTCCCTCCAAAAGGAAATAACTCAAATAACTCTGATAATAGTAGTCTATTGCTTTCATGATAATAAAACCAACCAATTATCATTAAAATATGATGTTCTAAATAAGCCAAACAGGCAAAATATGTTAAGTAGTTATAAAAGAATCATGTTAAAAAAAAATGTGAAACAATTCAAAAGAAAAAGTCACAACCTGAAGGAAACAGTTCTTTCAATTTGACCTTGATATGGTTGGGAGAAGGTTGATTAATAATGATCAGTTCCTGTCAACCAAATTTTTAAGCTTTTGCACTATATAGATATAAGAAGATGTGGTATGAGTGCCAATGAGAACTCTCCATCCAAGTCAAAATTTATAAAAGTAAACCATTATAGGTCAAAGTACGGTCTTCAACACGGAGCCTTGGCTCACACTGAACAGCAAGCTATAAAGGGCCCCAAAAATTACTAGTGTAAAACCATTCAAACGGGAAAACCAACGGTCTAATCTATATAAAAAACGAGAAACACTTATGAACCACATCAACAAACGACAACAACTGAACATCAGATTCCTGACTTAGGACGGGTGCAAACAATTGCAGCGGGTTTAAACGTTTTAATGGTACCAAACCTTCACCCTTATCTGAAACAATAGTGTAACATCACAACATAGAAAGACACACTATAAAATATCAATTGAAATGGCTTAACTATCAAAAGAATATACTTTACTTAAATGCAGTTATTTTGTTTTTGAATAGCAAATATTACAATTTTTAACTATAATTTTAGAGCTTGCTAACTATGAAAAAAATGTGAACAGACAGATGCACAAATACAATGCCTATCGCAAAGCTGCAGCTGCTATAGCAAAACACCCTACACAAATAAAGAATGGAACAGAGGCTCAAAAATTAGTGAGTATACAGTATGAATTTGTTGCAAAGAAAGTGGAGCAGAGGCTCAGAAATAAGTGAGTATACTGATTCAAATGTAGCAGAGAAAGTGGAATAGAGGCACAGACATTGTTGAGTTTACTGTATGCAAATGAAGAAGATAAAGGGGAATAAAGGGTATAAAAATTGTGGTCAAAGCACTCTTATAAAGACGTTAGCAGGAACTTATAGATAAGCCACTGTATAAGTAAAGCAGAATGCTTTAAATAAAGTGGAGCAGTGAGAAATCAGTGAGTATGTATGAGTATAGCAGACTGCTTTAAATAAATTTGAGAAGTGAGAATTCAGTGAGTATGTTTGAGTATACAAGATTGTTTTAAATTAAATGGAGCAGTGAGAATTTAGTGAGTATGTATTAGTTTACCTAATTGTTTTAGATGAAGTGGAGCAGTGAGAAATCAGTGAGTACGTATGAGTACGCCAGATTGTTTTAAATTAAGTGGAGCAGTGAGAATTCAGTGAGTATATGAGTATACCAAATTGTTTTATTTAATGTGGAGCAGTGATAAATCAGTGAGTATGTATGAGTATAGCGGTTTGCTTTCAATAAAGTGGAGAAGTGAGAATTCAGTGAGTATGTATGAGTATAGCAGATTATTTTGATTAAAGTGGAGCAATGAGAAATCAGTTAGTTTGTATGAGTATGCAGATTGTTTTATATGAAGTGGAGCAGTGAGAAATTAGGGAGTATATAACAAACAATCAGTAAAGTAAAGAGTTGTCATGTACAGTCTTATAAATTAGTATGAAAAGCAGTCTCAAAAAAGGATATTTGTAAATAAAGAAGATAGCAAAGCTTAGAATTATTGCTTTAAGCAACAGCAAAAAAGAATCTTAGAAATTATTCATTATAACAGATGATTTGTTGAACAAATACAGGCTTTCTAAATAAAGCAGAATTTTCTAATTTTCCCATATTCTGTTTTGGATTCAAAGGAAGAACAATGTTATGACAAATTCTCATGTTCACCTCATTAATTTTGTTTATCCAATTCCTGTCATAAAATTGTTACATCAGTTATTCCTTCAATTTATTATTGGATAGAATGTGCATCTTATCCTATAGACTAAACAACTTGGGACAGTATTATTCATGTGTAGCCTAGAGAAGATGATTTTTTTTTAAATCTGCTTTATCAACATTTAACCTTGACTATTGATTTTTTTAATAGGAAAAGGAAAAAAAATGTTACAGTCAATATTTCCAATTTAGATATAGAGTCTTGCCTAGAAGATCTTCATAAATCAAAAAGTAATTGAAGCACATACTAAGCATGCAAGTATTGTTGATTTCTGAATGATTTCTGATTGTAACATTATTTATCATATTCATCTGTTTTACAGGAAGGAGTTGGAGCAAAGATTGCTAAAAAGTTAGATGAATTTATAGGAACTGGAAAATTAGAAAAATTAGAGAAGGTACTTGACATATTTTGTTTTTCATTTTAGATTGAAAAACACTTATTTTATATATATAAATTGATACAGATTGAAAGTTTAACAATTTTATGGGAAACAAATCCTTTTTATACGACCGCAAAAAAATTTTTGTGGTCGTATATGTGTATGACGTTGGCGTCGTCGTTGCCGTCCGAAGACACATTAGTTTTCGCACTCTAACTTTAGTTTAAGTGAATGGATCTTTATGAAATTTTACCATAAGGTTCCATATCACAAAGGGAATGCTGGGATTGATTTTGGGGGTAATTGCCTCCAAATTTTAGGAATTAGGGGCCAAAAAGGGGCAAAAAACAAGCATTTTTTCTAGTTTCATGACAATAACTTGTGTGTAAGTGTATAGATCTCTCTGAAATTGTATCACAAGGTTCCATATCAGAAAGGGAATGCTGGGATTGATTTTGGGGGTAATTGCCTCCAAATTTTTGGAATTAGGGGCCAAAAAGGGGCAAAAAACAAGCATTTTTTTTGTTTCATGACAATAACTTGTGTGTAAGTGTATGGATCTTTATGAAATTGTACTACAAGGTTCAATATCACAAAGGGAAAGCTGGAATTGAGTTTGGGGTAATTGCCCAAAAAGTTTAGGAATAAGGGGCCAAAAAGGGGCCAAAAATAAGCATTTTTCTAGTTTCCAGACAATAACTTGTGTTCAAGTGTATAGATCTCTCTGAAATTGTACTGCAAGGTACCATACCACAAAGGAAAGGCTGGGATTGATTTTGGGGGTAATTCCCTCAAAATTTTAGGAATTAGGGGCCATAAAAGGGCAAAAAAACAAGCATTTTTCTAGTTTCAGGACAATAACTTGTGTGTAAGTGTATGGATCTTTATGAAATTGTACTGCAAGGTTCCATATCACAAAGGGAAAGCTGGGTTTGAGTTTGGGGGTAATTGCCCTAAACGTTTAGGGGCCATAAAAGGGCAAAAAAACAAGCATTTTTCTAGTTTCAGGACAATAACTTGTGTGTAAGTGTATGGATCTTTATGAAATTGTACTGCAAGGTTCCATATCACAAAGGGAATGCTGGGATTGAGTTTGGCGGTGATGAATCATAAGGGGGTTCAAAAAATTTGGGGGGGGATTTTTTTTTCCTTTTTTTTCTTTAAAATTTTCCATTTTAAATTGGTTATTTCTGATATATAAAAGCAAATAATAATGATATGGTTTGAATAGGTAAATTAAAAATTTTTTAGTTCTTAGACCACTTTCATTCTGTGTCAGAAACCTATGCTGTGTCAAATATTTAATTACAATCCAAATTCAGTGCTGTATCAAGCTTGAATGTTGTGTCCATACTTGCCCCAACTGTTCAGGGTTCGACCTCTGCGGCCGTATCAAGCTGCTGCATTTTATTTTAAGGCTTGGTGGTGGGGGGGGGGGGGGGGGGGGGGGGGGCGGGGTAGGGGTATTATTACTATTAATAAGATCAGTTTTTAGGAAATAAAAATAATAATAAAGTTATGTGTTTGTGATTCTGTTAAGTCAATAATATTTTGTATGCAGTTGTATTAGCATTGGCACATCTCATTTCTGTGGTATTTATTTCACCCCAACCCTCAGTTGTCTGTTGACTGATAATTTTGCTTACCAGTAATTTAAATGTTACAAGTTTTTGATTAGGTCAGTTTAAGATAAACGACTAATGGTAAGTCAATGATATTTGGTATGTAGTTATATTAGTATTAGCACATCTTATTTCTGTAGAGATTATATGGCTCTTCTTCCACTGTCATGTTCAATTAACTTTGGAATTTTTGCATGATTTACATGTTAAAGTTTTTGATTAGGTCATATTATTAAGGAACCGCTTATGATAAGTCAATGTTTTAGTGTATGCAGTTGTATTAGCATTGGCATGTCTCATTTTCATGAAGATTATTTTTGCCCTGTCCCTTCGATTATGGTTCATTGACTTTGAAAGTTTTGCATAGCCTAAAATATTGCCAATTTTAATATCAGCATTTGCATTTTACTATCAAAATAAAATACAGGCAAGACATATGATATCTTTGAATCAACAGTTTATGTAGCAATATGTGTAAATGAATAGTGAAGCAATCTTTTTAAAGCTCATCAAATAATGGCATTAAAACTGGGTGCCGCAATTTTGTTTTTTTTCTTCTAAGATTAGCAGATTGTTTATAATTTGTTTGGGTCTTTTCAGGGTTTTATGTATATTCCAATATATTTACTAAACGGACTAGTTTGCTTTAGAAATAACCATAGCTACTGACCTTGCTATTTAGGCAATGTTTATACGTAGTTGTATTTTAAAATTATTTTCTTTCTTTCAGATAAGAGCAAACAGTACAAATACTGCAATAAATGAATTGATCAAAGTTACAGGTATTGGGTAAGTAAGCCTTCAGAAAAACATGGAAAGGTGATTGAAGGATAAAGTTAAATTTTTGTATCGCCATTGACGAAAGTAGCAGAAAGCAAGACATAGGGATTGACGTCATCATATTCATCAACAATTGTTAAGTTTTTTGCTTAAGTTAGTTTGATAGCAACTACTTGTGATAGTGATAGATCACTGATATTTAATACAAAGTTGCATTACTATCAGTACATATCAGTTTGACAACCATTACGAGGCCATGCCCCCTAGGTCATGGTTCAGCGACATTGACTTAATTAGCAATTTTCAATGTTAAGTTTTCTGCTTAAGTTAGTTTGAAAGGAACTACTTGTGATAGATCATTGATATCTAATATAAAGTTGCATTACTATCAGTACATATAAGTTTGACGACTATTTCGAGGCCCTGCCCCCTAGGTCATGATTCAGCGATTTCAAAGAAGCAAGCAATTTTCAATTTAAAGTTTTCTGCTTAAGTTAGTTTGATAGGAACTACTTGTGATAGATCATTGATATTTAATACAAAGTTGCATAACTATCAGTACATATCAGTTTGATTACTATTTCAAGGCCCTGCTCACTAGTTCATGGTCCAGCGACTTTAAATTAATCATGTTAATTAGTGATGTTGCTGTCCATCTGATTGTCTTTTTCTGAATTTAATGCTCACAGGCAAGACATATCTCTGTGTCAACAGTTTATTTTTTTATGTTGATTGAAAATTAATTCCAGTGGTATAACTCAGATGCTAATAACAAGATAGTAGATTAGATATTGAAAAGAACCAAGGGAAATCTTTTCCTATTATCCACTAGCAATTTATTTTTGATTACCTGGAAAGTCTATGTGTAAGATATGTAAAATTATCCCTACATGCATAATATTATTGAAATGAGAGAACTAACTGAATGATTTAATTGGCATACCTGTTCTTATAGCTGTTTTGTTTGCATACCTGCCAACCTCTGAAACCTTCAAAGAGGGAGATCTCCCTCTCAACTATGACAGCTGAGGGGGAGATTTTGCGCGAATGACATTTTCAAGTGAAATATATGACGTGTTTATTTATTCATCTACCAAACACATATAAGAGTTAATAGATATACTTTGTTTCTTTTAATATGGTTATACATGTATCCTACAGAAGGTGTGTTGTTTATTTCTTTCCTATTTCATCATCTTTGACATTTGAATTCCATCAGGACAACATTTCACCCCACATACCTCTGTTAAAAGAGAGCAATCATGTTGTCACAGATTGTGCATTATGTGTGTGCTCTTATTAACAGATTCTTTATTAAGATAACTAATATTACATTAGTGTTCTCCATTACAAATCATATAATAATATACAAAACAACATTTCAAAGTTTCACATGTAATATATATATATATATATATATATATATATATATATAAAATAATACAGTTGTACCCATATTTTTAGCTCACCTGGCCCAAAGGGCCAAGTGAGCTTTTCTCATCACTTGGCGTTCGTCGTCCTTTGTCGTCCGTCGTCGACGTCCGTCGTTAACTTTTACAAAAATCTTCTCCTCTGAAACTACTGTTTGACCAAACTTGGCCACAATCATTATTGGGGTATCTAGTTTAAAAAATGTGTCCGGTGACCCGGCCAACCAACCAAGATGGCAGCCATGGTTAAAAATAGAACATAGGAATAAGATGTAGATTTTGGCTTATATCTCTGAAACCAAAGCATTTAGAGCAAATCTGACATGGGTTTAAATTGTTTATCAGGTCAAGATCTATCTGCCCTGAAATTTTCAGATGAATCGGACAACCCGTTGTTGGGTTGCTGCCCCTGAATTGGTAATTTTAAGGAAATTTTGCCGTTTTTGGTTATTATCTTGAATATTATTATAGATAGAGATAAACTGTAAACAGCAATAATGTTCAGCAAAGTAAGATCTACAAATAAATCAACTTGACCAAAATGGTCAGTTGACCCCTTAAGGAGTTATTGTCCTTTATAGTCAATTTTTAACCATTTTTCGTAAATTTTTGTAAAAAATCTTCTCCTCAGAAACTACAAAGACAAATTTAACCAAACTTGTCCACAATCCTCATTAGGGTATTTAGTTTAAAAAATGTGTCCGATGACCCCGCCCGTGAACCAAGATGGCCGACATGGCTAAAAAATAGTACATAGGGTAAAATGCAGTTTTTGGCTCATATCTCTGAAACCAAAGCATTTAGAGCAAATCTGACGGGATAAAATTGTTCATTAGGTCAAGATCTATCTGCCCTGAATATTTCAGACCAATCAGGCAACACTTTGTTGGGTTGCTGCCCCTGAATTGGTAATTTTAAGAAAATTTTGCAGCTTTTGGTTATTATCTTGAATATTATTATAGATAGAGATAAAATGTAAACAGCAATAATGTACAGCAAAGTAAGATCTACAAATAAGTCAAACATGACCAAAATTGTCAATTGACCCCTTAAGGAGTTATTGCCCTTTATAGTAAATTTTTTACAATTTTCATAAATTTTGTAAATTTTTGTAAATTTTTACAAAATATTTTGCACTGTAACTACTGGGCCAAGTTCATTATAGATAGAGATAATTGTAAGCAGCAAGAATGTTCAGTAAAGTAAGATCTACAAACACATCACCATCACCAAAACACAATTTTGTCATGAATCCATCTGTGTCCTTTGTTTAATATGCACATAGACCAAGGTGAGCTACACAGGCTCTTTAGAGCCTCTAGTTAAGAATTGTTTCTTATTTCTAATGCATCTCTAATAAATTTGTATAAATAATTACTTTCAGTAATATTTTGTGGATTTAAAAGTTTAGAAACTGAAAAATAATCATTACCCAAATCTTTTAAATCTAAACCATAAGATTGGATAAAAGTTTGCCTTATATCTTTATATTTATCACAAGATATCAAAAAATGTTCTTCAGTCTCTACTTCAGTGCAAAATTTGCAAAAACGTTGTTCTCTTGGAATTTTGGGTTTATTATATCTACCCCTTTCTATATTTAAACAATGAGCACTGATACGTAGTTGTGTAATTTTACTTTTTATATTTTTGGTAAGATTGGTTTGAAGATAGAAGGGAACAAAATTTGGAACAAAAATATTACTTAAAGCACCAGTTTACTGTCCACAGCTCCAGATTTGATTTTTATACGACCGCAAAAATTTTTGCGGTCGTATATTGGTATGACGTTGGCGTCGTCGTTGTCCGGCTTCGTCCTGCGTCGTCCGAAGACACATTGGTTTTCGCACTCTAACTTTAGTTTAAGTGAATGGATCTCTATGAAATTTTACCATAAGGTTCAATACCACAAAAGGAAGGTTGGGATTGATTTTGGGGGTTATGGTACCAACAGTTAAGGAATTAGGGGCCAAAAATAAGCATTTTTGTAACTTCCAGACATAACTTGTGTGTTAGTGTATGGATCTCTTTGACATTTTACCACAAGGTTCCATATCACAAAGGGAATGCTTGGATTGATTTTGGGGGTAATTGCCTCAAAATATTAGGAATTAGGGGCCAAAAAGGGGCAAAAAACAAGCATTTTTCTAGTTTCATGACAATAACTTGTGTTATAGTGTATGGATCTTTCTGAAATTGTACTACAAGGTTCCATATGACAAAGGGAAAGCTGGAATTGAGTTTGGGGGTAATTGCCCGAAACGTTTAGGAATAAGGGGCCAAAAAACACATTTTTCTAGTTTCCAGACAATAACTTGTGTTCAAGTGTATGGATCTCTCTGAAATTGTACTGCAAGGTGCCATACCACAAAGGGAAGGCTGGGATTGAGTTTGGGGTGATGAATCATAAGGGGGTTCAAAAAATTTTGGGGGGGGGGATTTTTTTTTTTTCCTATTTTTTTTCTTTTAAAATTTTCCATTTTAAGTTGGTTATTTCTGATTTATATTTAAAAGCAAATAATAATGATATGGTAGGAGATACACACCAAACAGGATGTGTAAATTATTATATAATAAGTATTGTGCAATAGCAAGAAATTTTCAATTGCACAGTATTGCACAATAGCAAGAAATCTTCAATTGCACAGTATTGCGCAATATCAAGAAATCTTCAATTGCACAGTATTGCGCAATAGCAAGAAATATCCAATAGCACAATATTGCGCAATAGCAACAAATTGTCAATTGTACAGTATTGCGCAATAGCAAGAAATATTTAATTGCACAGTATTGTGCAAAAGAAGATACTTAGTATAAATTGCTTATTTCTTGACCAATTTCAATGGGGTTTTATTCTTGAATTCTTGGGGTTCTTTAATATGCTGAATCTAACCGTGTATTTAGTTTTTGGATTTTGGGCCCCGTTTTTAAATTGGTCCACATTGAGGTCAAAAGGGTCCAAAACTAAACTTTGTTTGATTTCATCAAAAATTGAATTATTGGGGTTCTTTGATATGCCGAATCTAACCGTGAATTTAGATTCTTAATTTTTGGTTCCGTTTTCAAATTGGTCTACATTAAGGTCCAAAGGGTCCAAAATTAAACTTAGTTTGATTTTAACAAAAATTGAATTCTTAGGGTTCTTTGATATGCTGAATCTAAACATGTATTTAGATTTTTGATTATGGGCCCAGTTTTCAAGTTGGTCCAAATCGGGGTCCAAAATTAAACTTAGTTTGATTTCAACAAAAATTGAATATATGGGGTTCTTTGATATGCTGAATCTAACCATGTACTTAGATTTTTGATTTTTGGGCCCCGTTATCAACTTTGTCCACATTGAGGTCAAAAGGGTCCAAAATTAACTTTGTTTGATTTCATCAAAAATTGAATTCTTGGGGTTCTTTGATATGCTGAATCTAACCATGTATTTAGATTTTGGATATTGGACCATAATAGGTGAATGTCCAATTTAAAATTTTTAAGTTCTTCGACCACATTCATTCTGTGTCAGAAACCTTTGCTGTGTCAAATATTTAATCACAATCGAAATGCAAAGCTGTATCAAGCTTGAATGTTGTGTCCATACTTGCCCCAACTGTTCAGGGTTCGACCTCTGCGGTCGTATCAAGCTGCGCCCTGCGGAGCATTTTATTAGCCAGTGCTTTTTGTAGCTTATTTTTTATCGATAATTCTTATGCTATGCTATTTTATCATATATACATGTTGTACTTTGATTATTATTATTGTTCAATTTGTCTTTTAAACTCATGCTGTCTATTTGTTTGGATAACTCTCCATCATATTGACAAATTTAAACTTTTTTACATCATCTGTAAAACGGTTGTACTTCAAGGGGGAGTAAGTCATAACATGTACTTATTAAGTTCTCTGAATATGGTTCAATACATACCTTATAAATTTCAATATAAACATTGAATCGAAGTATAGATCTTTTAAGTGATTTTTAAAATATAATTATTTTTTTTGTCTTAAGGCATACAAAATCTTTTAATTGCTATCCTTTTATGATTCTTTGTTTAATTTGTATTTAGTTTATATTGTTTTATCAATTCACATTGTTTTAAGAAGGGTAACTTAAAACAGACTTAAACAGGGAAGTAATCCTGAAAATTTCTTTGAAATGTTTTTAATAACAATAAGCTTGAAGCAAAAGTCGTTAATGATTGTAAATTAGTACTATGTTTGACACCAAGCTGTCAAGTGAAGCCATTTAATTTCACATGGTCTGTGATTTACAGGTAAAAACAACCCTCATCAGTGACACAAAAACGTAATTTTGGCTTGTCATTCAAGGTTGAAATATCCAAAAGCGGGAGATTCTATACTCCCGCACGGGAGGGTACTGGCAAGCGGGAGATTTCCCAAATTTCGCCATTTGAGCAGGAGTCTCCCGCTCAAAACGGGAGGGTTGGCAGGTATGTGTTTGTCAAGTTTTAACATAATATGAGCTTCATTGTGATAACATCAAATTCTTGAATCATATAAAACTATTACTAATGAACAATGCTTTTGCCCCTTTGAGTGGGTATGGCCGATCTGGCTTAATTTAAAAAAATTCAATTTGACTGAAATTAGTTATCTAATTTCAGTCACTGAAAATAAAATCAGTTATGACCGACAAAATGATTGTTTCCAGACCCTTTGTTCATACCCTTGTACAGCACATTTGACTGAGCTATCAAGCTGGAATATTGGTTTTAAGAAAATAATTGTTAAATATAATCATATTACGGTATGCAACACTACTGGTAAGAAATCATCTTATTTATTTATTATACCCCATGGACAATGATGGAAAAAAGCATTAAGTTTTTGATCCATCTGTCCATCCGTCAGTCTGTCAGTCCTGTTCTTGTCACCACAACTCCTCTGAAATTGCACAACAGAATTTCATGAAACTTTGTAGATAATAAGAAGATACTATGTAGATGTGCATATCGGCAGGAAATTATGATTCAACTTTTTTTCTAGGAGTTATGCCCCTTTGAAAGTAGAATTTTGGCCTAAATATACTACTGCAACAGTTTGTCATTGCAACTCCTCTGAATCCACACAACAGAATTTCATGATAATTTGTAGATAATTAGGACATACTATGTAGATGTGCATATTGACAGGAAATTGTGATTACATTTTTTTTTCAAGGAGTTAAAACTCCATTGAACTTAGAATTTTGGCCTAAATATACTACCGCAATAGTTTGTCATCAGAACTCCTCTGAAACCACACAACAGAATTTTATGAAACCTTGGAGGTAATAAGGACATATTATGTAGAATATTTTCATTTTTATTTTGCAGCCCAGCAGCAGCTCAGAAGTTTGTACAAGAAGGAATACATTCAATAGCAGGTAGTTTTCTCACATGGCAAGTTATTCAAATGATATTAACACCTAAATATTTGTAGAATTTATTCAAAATTTATCTCATGGTTGTTTAGAGCTTTGATACAATATGTGTGCTTGTCGTCGTTGTAAGTTGTATGATGCCATCAAGCTATAATTATTTAGGTAAACTTGTGTTGTTTGATTGCTGTCTCACTCATATCTTACATGAAACAATTTTGCTAAAATAAAAAATTAACTTTTTTTTTATTTGCATATCAAATAGAGTATTGGGCAGACTGTATCATAAAAATTATAAAAATAAGAAGATGTGGTTTGATTGACGATGAGACAACTTTTTGGAATTTATGTTTGATAATGGTTTCAGAATGTTATTAAAGTTAGCAAAAAATGAATCTGTCAAACTGACAATATTAATAAATTTTAAAAATAATGATATGGTAATAATCAAGTAATGAATATTTTCAATTGTAGACTTAAGAAAAAATATAGATAAACTAAATCATCATCAGCAGATTGGTTTGAAGTAAGTAGCATTATTTCATAAATAATCCTTGACAGACCATTGTTGACTTTAGATGCAAAAATTTTATCCTTAGTACTGCAAAGCGCTGTGATTGATGGCATTTATACAAAATTTTTTTCATTGTTGAGAAAAATAATACTTATTTGGACAGAATAATAGATTTTTTTTTCAACAATTACCTTATTGTATTTTTGCTGATATTTCAAGTAGATGCTGAAATATTACATCTTTTAATTCTCAACTATATTGTCTATGCTCTCCAAAGAAATCTAAATTTCTTGAATGCTGACTGTTAAAAGGTAAACTAATTTTAATATTTCTATTTGCCTTTAATTGGAGCAGGATACTTTGAAACTTAATTCTTGTACATTTGTACTATATGAAATGTAAGTTTATGTGTACACACCTATTGTTACATTGTATATGTATGCTGGTCATAGTTTTTAGACGTAGGATATTTAAACATGGAGCATACCACATAGAGATTTCAAGACAATTGTATATGATTGATATTGATATCAATTTGACAAACAAATTTTATTTTTTCTTCCATGACATTCACCCAATGATCTGATTAAGTAATCTGAGAAAATCTATTCAAAATTAATTTTTATATATACCGCTATATAAATTCCATTTCAGACATTTTGAAGATTTTGAAACCAGAATTCCAAGAAAAGAAATGTTAGAACTTCAGGTATTAACAGTGCACACTAGGCTTTAGATCCTTTTACTTTGACTAATCCAAATTGTTGGGGGTTGTTGGAGCACTGCTAGTGTCCATATTCATATTAATATCCATATGACTAGAACAATAAGGGAGATAATTGCCTTTTTGAAACATGGTTAATTGGGTCATCAATTCATGACATATATTGAGGGCTAAAAGGGTAGTGGTTATACAAATATATTAAACAAATATTTAGATACATGTTAGCCACTTAATTTTTTCAGTTACACTATGTTAAAGTAAAAAACAAAACTGTGCCACCTTGTACTATGTCTTTAACATTCATAAGTGACCCCTAGGGGCCTCGGTGGCCGAGTGGTCTAAGTAGTTACTACTGTAATCACTAGCCAGTCAACACTGAGGATGTGAGTTCGAACCCCGCTCGTGCGGGTGCACTCCACTCCAATCTTAATTGACTAGGATTGTCAGTTTTCCTATCGAAGGTCGGTGGTTTTCTCCGGGCACTCCGGCTTCCTCCACCAGTAAAAATTGGCCACCACGAAAAAGCCCAAAGCAGTGCTTAAAAGTGGCGTTAAAACACCAAAAATCAATCAAATCATAAGTGACCCCAGTTGATATGTTTAAGGTTAATGCCAAGCAACTCATAAAATAAGTAAACATAATTTCATTTTTATACGACCGCAAAAAAATTTTGTGGTCGTATATTGGTATGACGTCGGCGTCGTCGTCCGAATACACATTGGTTTTCGCACTCTAACTTTAGTTTAAGTGAATGGATCTCTATGAAATTTTACCATAAGGTTCAATACCTCAAAAGGAAGGTGGAGATTGATTTTGGGGGTTATGGTACCAACAGTTAAGGAATTAGGGGCCAAAAAGGGGCCAAAAATAAGCATTTTTGTAACTTCCAGACATAACTTGTGTGTTAGTGTATGGATCTCTCTGACATTGTACCACAAGGTTCCATATCACAAAGGGAATGCTGGGATAGATTTTGGGGGTAATTGCCTCCAAATTTTAGGAATTAGGGGCCAAAAAGGGGCAAAAAACAAGCATTTTTCTAGTTTCATGACAATAACTTGTGTTCAAGTGTATGGATCTCTCTGACATTGTTCCACAAGGTTCCATATCTCAAAGGGAATGCTGGAATTGATTTCGGGGGTAATTGCCTCCAAATTTTAGGAATTAGGGGCCAAAAAGGGGCAAAAAACAAGCATTTTTCTAGTTTCATGACAATAACTTGTGTGTAAGTGTATGGATCTTTATGAAATTGTACTACAAGGTTCCATATCACAAAGGGAAAGCTGGAATTGATTTTGGGGGTAATTTCCCACAACGTTCAGGAATAAGGGGCCAAAAAGGGGCCAACAATAAGCATTTTTCTAGTTTCCAGACAATAACTTGTTCAAGTGTATGGATCTCTCTGAAATTGTACTGCAAGGTACCATACCACAAAGGAAAGGCTGGGATTGATTTTGGGGTTAAATCCCTAGAAATTTGAGGAATTAGGGGCCATAAAGGGGCAAAAAACAAGCATTTTTCTAGTTTCAGGACAATAACTTGTGTGCAAGTGTATGGATCTTTATGAAATTGTACTGCAAGGTTCCATATCACAAAGGGAAAGCTGGGTTTGAGTTTGGGGGTAATTGCCGTAAATGTTTAGGAATTTTGGGCCAAAAAGGGGCCAAAAAATAAGCATTTTTCTAGTTTCCAGACAATAACTTTTGTTCAAGTGTATTGATCTCCCTGAAATTGTACAGTAATCATACATGTGAACCTCCCGAAGGGAATACAATAATCCCGTTTTCAGGGGTCTCCTCCCGACCTCCCGTTGAAGACAAAAAAATCCTGTGTATGAAATATTTCATGAATGAAAAATTTCAGCCCAACATATCTGGTGTAACTGACATTACCTGAAGTTATATTTTACCTGTAAATCAATTAACATGATAATTATATGGCTTCACTTGTCACCTTGGGTGTCAAACATACTGGTAATCAACGATTTTTACATCAGGCTAACTGCCGTTGTGTAATAAAACTTTGTATATTTATAAATGAATGTTGGGTTACTTCCCTTGATTTATCCTGTTTTAAGTTACTTTCCTTTAAATAATGTAAATTTTTAAAAGAATATAAATAAAATATAAATTGAACAAATAATCATAAAAGGATTGTAATTAAATGATTTTAAATGTCTTAGGACAAATAAAAAAATAATAATTTGAAAATTATTTGAGGGTTCTATACTTCCTTTCAAGGCTTAAATTGAAATTTATATGTTAACTATGACCCATGAATCCAGATTGAATGTGTTACTTATCATGCATTATAAATCTACTTGCATAAAGATTAAAATAAAAGATCTACTTGCAGATAGATAAGCAATTATTCTGATTGCAATGAATAATGGAAAAAAAGATACTTAAAAAGAAGAATGTAAGATTGAACAAGTTGAAAGTTTAAAAAGATAGAGAAAATTTATAAGTACAAGGGTACTATAAACATAATACATTCGGATGGAAAGTTGAAGAAAGCACACTTTAACAGACAATTTCTACAGCACACGGTTACATTTACGACAGAATTTATGTCGATTAAAAACCTCCTGATCTGAGTCCTAATCTCCTGACCAAAATTTCCCAAACTCCTGATCTTAGTTTCACAGTCCATCATATGTACTGCAAGGTACCATACCACAAAGGGAAGGCTGGGATTGTGTTTGAGGGTGATGAATCATAAGGGGGTTCAAAAAATTTTGGGGGGAGGGGGATTTTTTTTTCCTTTTTTTTCTTTGAAATTTTCCATTTTAAATTGGTTATTTCTGATTTATATATAAAAGCAAATAATAATGATATGGTTTGAATAGATAAATTAAAAATTTTTAAGTTCTTAGACCACATTCATTCTGTGTCAGAAACCTATGCTGTGTCAAATATTTAATTACAATCCAAATTCAGTGCTGTATCAAGCTTGAATGTTGTGTCCATACTTGCCCCAACTGTTCAGGGTTCGACCTCTGCGGTCGTATCAAGCTGCGCCCCAGCGAAGCATTTTATTAGGGTTTATTTCTAAGTTTGTTTTGTAAATGACAGCTTTTAATCAGATAATAATGAGGAACAACTATTTTCAGGATCTTGCATTACGAGAAATTCACAAACTAGACACAGAATATAATGCTGAAATATGTGGAAGTTTTAGAAGAGGTTAGTTACAATAAAGTACTATTTATATATAATCAGGGGTAAATATTAGTTACATGCCAATCCAACATCACAAGTACATGTATACAGGTTTGACATCAAGAGGTCAAAATATGACAAACAATGGACAACTGTCCAAATCATAGTTAAATTTTATTTCATAAAATAAATTGATGGTTACATAATTACAAGCTGTAATTTTTTATATAGAAAAAGATAAATATTGCAAGATACATCAGTATTAACTTGATGACATAGATAAAATAGTCCTTTAGTCAGAACAAGTAACGATTTTGGAATTTAATTGAAATAAGAGAGAGATGGACAACAAAATCGAAAGACATGTGATTTGGTTTAGTCCTCTTTGTCGATACAACTCTGACATATAATGATACCTTAAGCAGGTTGATATCCTGTTAAAGCACACTGTTAATAGCTCAGTGGTTAATGCGTCATTCTTCACTATTTCTAGGTGCTGAGACCAGTGGTGATATAGACATACTGCTGACACATCCATCATTTACATCAACTTCTAAGAAAAAGGTAGGTTCAACTAAAGTGGATATTTTTGTTGAAATTTACATGAGATCAATGTAATATCTTGTTTAATTACATCTGTTAATGTTATTTAGAGTGATAAATTAAATAAATTATTACCCAAGATCAGTATATTATCTTAGGGATTGGATCCCTGAATGTTTGTGGGAGAGTGATATTGGTTGCATTACAACGAGAGATCAGTATAAAATTTTCTTGAATAAGATCCTTGAATTCATTGATAGCAGCTGAGTTTAAGGCATAATGGTAAAATGAAAAAAATTCATATGGTTCTAAACTATTTGAATAAATTAAAAACAAGTCCATTTCATGTAACTTAAATATATCAGATAATGAGATATGACATCAACAAAAAAATTAATAATCAGTATTTGAACTACTTTTGTAATTGGGTTATAGATAATGACTGTTTATTGAGTGCATGAAATGTGATAAATTGTATGCAGACAACAAAATTTTTCTGTTTTTTTTTTCAGACGAAATGTCTTCATGATGTAGTTAAACTGTTTGAAAATATAGGCTTCATAACAGATACATTATCACACGGGGATGCAAAATTTATGGTGAGTTCCAATCTATTGTCAGATTTCCATTGACGATGGTCTGGAAATAAAAAAATCCTTTCTTTTAAACCACTAATTGATTTTAGAACTAAGGAAAGTGACTAAGTGTACTTTTTGGTATCACTTGGTAATATTTTCAACAAGGTTTTCAGTAAATGTCTTCTGAAATTACTTAACGTACTTTTAATCAAAGTTGATACTTCATAGAACATACAACATTATGTGGAGAGAGTTACATTACAGTTGTTAAAATTTAAATTATTTAGAGGAGAAATGGAATAGCATTTCTAGAAGAAGGATATCAATCGAAATTTCACGCAATAAGATATTTTGCTCTTTAACGCTTTTAAATATTAGTGTAATAATCCTTTACTACTCAAAGCTGTAAGTTTATAATATCAAATTGTTGTTAAATACACAGTATTTAAGGATTGTACTGTCATTTCATGTTACTGATTAAAGTTTTGTGCTGAATACACTATTTCTCTCATATTCTTAGGGTGTATGCATACTGAAGAAGAAGACTGGTGGCGAGGAGCCAAAATACAGGAGAATTGACATTAGGTAAGTGAAAGAAGTGATGATCATAATGATAAATATTACAAAGATGAAAAATACCATAATAAAGTATTTTGAAATATAACCAAATTTACGTCTTCAACTCAATATCTTAAGGAAAGTTTCATCAAATCTGATTTTTTTTTAATTCTACTACAATGTTATGAATAAGTAAGCATATGAAAATTATAACAGGTCATTTCTGAGTTATATCTCTTCATTATGCCATTTTGTTTTTTTTCATTATGAAAATTATTTAAGAATGGGAAATAACATCCATATCCCTTAAAATATGTTTCTTTTATTTAAGATTGATTCCCTTTGACCAGTATTATTGTGCATTGTTGTATTTCACTGGCAGTGATGTTTTCAACAAGAACATGAGAGCACATGCTTTAGAGAAAGGTTTTACACTGAATGAATATACACTTAGGCCACTAGGTAGTACAGGTAAGACTTCTTTAATCAAATTAGCTGCTTATTAAACTGATTATTTATATGCAAAAACACGTAAAGTAAGCATCATAAAGAGGTACATGAATTACCTGTGATTGAAGAGTACACAGGATAATTCTGAAAAAAAATAAGGTTTTTCAGTTGTTGTAAAATTAGTGTACTTCCTCTGAATAAAAAGTCAAAGTATGATATGTAAGGAATATTTGTCAAAGTTGTGGAGGCGAGGGTAATGTTTATGTCGATTCAGGGATATTTGGTAGGCAGTTGTATAAGTATTTGTACACCATTGAAAATTATTTGGCTCTGCCCTTCAGTCATTGTCCAGTGATTCAGACTTTTCATAAGTTTATATGTTGAAGTTTATGATAAGGTAACATTAAGAGGAGCCACTATTGGTAAATCAGTGATATTTGGTAGGCAGTTGTATTAGCATTGACACACAATATCAATGAATAAGGGACACACATAGATGAACAGTTTCATGTTCCTTTGTTTGTTTTCTCCTTGTCAATCAAACTACATCTATTATTCTATGTGGGTGCTGGAAAGGCACCAAAGAGACTAAATGTTCTTTGAAATTGAATGAATAATTTTATTGAAAATCACTTCACCTTCTTATGTTACCATTGGAAAAGATAGAATATGGTGCAGATGCTCACAATGTCTAATCAAATACTAAATCTACTGTGATAGAGATGGTCAGAATTATTTATGATTTAATATTGGATAATGTTTGTTAACTTTACTTTTTAACAGGAACTCCAGGAGAACCTCTTCCAATAACTTCAGAAGAAGATATATTTGACTATTTAGAATATGAATACAAAAAAACATGTGACAGGAAATAAAAGTGAAGACACCTAGCAATGTGACAGAAAATAACAGTGTAGATACTTACAACACAACATAAAATGAAATGCAGCATTTGTAAACTTCACAGTTAAATAAGTTAACAATTCTTATGTTAAGTTGAAATTATATTGACAGAATGAACATGTATCAATGCACTGGTCAGTTGCTGATTTTATTTGGGGCTCAGGGGGTGTATGCCCTTTTTGATTGGAAAATTTTGATATTTTTGGGCATAAATCATAGGCATATTTTCACCTCGCTACCTCATTTGGCACTTTTTTTTTCAAAGTTCATATCATAATAAAAGTGTACTATTAAAGATTCAAGTTGATGTGACTTTGACTTAATGGTTTACTACCGTAACCAAATTCTTTAACCTGATACAGAACAAACAAATGGAATGATAAACAGACAAATCAATGGACTCACTGACTGAAAAAAAACCATTATACCCCTCTTCTGTCTTAGTGGGGGGGGGCAAGAAATAACTACTGATTCAGAATTTGTGTTGCATAAATGTTTTCTGATTTCTGACGTTCTTATATGTATATATATATACTGGGACCGTGCAGTAAATGTCGAATTCTTATTGAATACATTATGGCAAATATGTTCATGTTTGTTTATCATAATTTATTTGATCATTGCCAATTGTTATTTTCTGCATCTACTTAAAAAAAAACATTACTTAGAAAAAGGGGGATAGATACCAAGAGGTCAATCTAAAACCATAAGTTAAAGAAAGACAAACAAAAGACCAAAAGGACCAACAAACAATCAGAAGTCCACATAATGATAAACTACCTAAACCAAACCTTAATCCAGAGTTGAACTCAAGGTTTCTTGGAGTTATAACACTTACAGTTTCAATAGAGTCAAAAGTCCATCTTCATCATAAGTGGCACAGTTGAATATAAAAACTCAATATTGCTGAATTTAAATTCTGACAAAGTTGACAACCTTATTGTGTCAGTGGATTAAATTGTATGCTTCTTACCATTTTGTAATTGCTTTCCTAAACAAAAATCCAGTGTAAAAACCATTGCTGTGTGACAGTCTGGAAAACTGGTGTAACATGGTTAATATTATAGGTAAGTGATCAACACTGATGGATTGTTTGCTGAATTCATTTTTCAACAAGATTGAGATATAAAGAATTCCCTTTTATGAATTAAAGTTGAAATAATATAGCATGCAAATTAAGAGTTAAAATGCCTTGCTTGCAAACTTTGTTTGGATGTTTGCTCAGAAATTTTAATTAAGATTGACACCTAAATTCAATGGGTAGGCGGGAGTAACAGTCTGTTTACTATATACAAAGGTTTGATTGGTCAATGAATATCAAAATTGTGTCCAGTTAGGCACTTACAGATATAAAGAAGCATGTGCTAAAGGGGGTACAGGAAAGGTAAAGTAAACTAATTTTGAAATGGATTAAAACCGTAAAGCATGAGCAGTTTTAATGTCATATTTTAATTAAAACTATTATTTTGACATTTTAACGGGTAGAAAGATGAAGGGGAAACAGTGAACAATTAAAATTTATTTTTTATGATTCTACAAAAAAGCAAAAATAACTAAAAAAAAACACACACAACTTAAACAAAATAATCAATGCTCATGCAGTAATATCTCTTTTATCTTTTCATGTAAATTGTATTGATAATATAAAAAATTAAAAGTATTTATATTAAACATGATGACAGAGACAATTAATCTCTGATGATGATAAATGATCAAGTTTCATCTTCCAATATTAACAATAAAGCAATTGTGTGCAGAAAACTTTTCATTATCATATCAAATTAAAACAACCAAACCATCAAATCTTGCATTACTGTAAAAATTATTATTATCAATTAGTTGGTTCACATTTAGCTAACTATTCTTTTTTTCTGTATACCCTTTAAGTGCCTGACTGGAAACAATATGATATCCATTGTCTAATCAAATCTTTTTATATAGTAAACAGGCTGTTACTCCGCCTACCCATTGAATTTAGGTGTCCATCTTAATTACAATGTCTGAGCAAACAACCAAAACAAAGTTTGCAAGCAAGGCATTTAAACTCTTGATGTGCATGCTATATTATTTCAACTCTAACAATCATAAAAAATTTCCACTGCACATTGTATATTTTAATAAAAAAAGGCAGCAAAATGAAATGAATATCTGAGCCTGTTTTCAGTTGTATATGTTGTTTATTGTTTGTAAAGTTGAATGCATGATATTATACATGTTTATTAAAGTTTGTAATGACTTTTTATATGAAATAAATGTTCAAAAATAGATTTATCTTGAATATATATTTTCTTCCTACGTATTCAGCTATATAAATATCAGTATTTTTAAAAAAGTTACAGCCATATCTTTCACCCAAGGCATATATATACCTTTTATATATAAAGTCACATTAAAGATTCTTATTGTGCATATTCAGTGCAAAGAAACAAAAGTGTTGTATGAAGTGAGTACCAACATTGACTAAATTATGTTCGTGCAACATTAGTTCTAAAACTTGCATTTATATTACTCCAGATGAACTAGTGTAAAGTTTTTCAAAATGCAATATAGCAACAACAAAAATTCCTCAATATGTAAATTGAGTAATTGCTGAATTTTTTCCAATGATTTCTCAACCGTGTCCATCTGTCCAAAAGACACTGGGTAGAAATCTTTCTTCAAAGTTTTCTTGGATCCCATGGAACGAGTGACTTTATATTTGTTCTGCTGCATCATAATAATCAGTTGTAGCGAGAAATCAATTTTTACAACTGGCTTGCAGCCACATCCTGTTTGCAGACACTTTGAAATTTTACAACACTTATTTGTATAAGGAAAATTTTCGTCAAACTTTTCTTGGCCTCACTGGAAAAGAATGATTTGATATTTAGTCTGCAGCTTGATAATGTTGAGTTATAGCTTGTAAGAAATTTCATCTGTCATGCAGTCGCTTCCTGTTTGTCCATAGTTTGAAATTTTACAACCCTCATTGTACTAAGTATTTCTTTTCATCAATGAAGAGGAATTAATAGTTATGCTTCAGTATACATGCAACCTAAATAAATTGCATGCAGAGATGCAGGTCCAGACCTGGTATCAGTCTTGTTTTTTTAAATGGTAAAATTTGACCCCCCAAGTTAAGGTTTAACCATTTGTCAAATGTCAAAATTTATTCTGAGTACAACCTAAACCCATGCAACTGAAGCCAGTCTGGACATAGATATATGAAAGTTAAATGTAATTTCTGTTTAAGAAATTTAAACACTTCCTGTATTTAATAGGCATGTTTTTCATTGCTTCAGAAGTTGTAAAAATAAACCAATTTAAAAATAAGATGTGGTATGATTACCAATGAGACAGCTATCCACCAGATCCAGATTCCAAATGATGTAGATGGAAGCAACTAAAGGTCACTTTGGACACGCAAATAAATAATGTGGCGGGTTAAACATGTTTGTGAGCCACAGCAGTGTAACAGCACAGCAGAACATACTGTAAAAATCAATTTGAAAGGGCTATCTCAACAAACTGGTATGAAGAAAAAAATAAGCACTGATCCAAGAGCACTCACATTTACTGAAATCTAGTTCAAAGTCAATTATAACTAAAAAAGAAATTATGTTCTTTCACATTAAAGTATTTATCAGTACACATCCAACAGATTTAGTGTAATGATGATTTATTAAAATCTCTGAGATGCTCCCCTCAGGTAAACATTGTATTGCATTGATTGATATAGACAATAGATATCTATACAACTAGTGTTTAGAATTGGCCGAAAAAATTATTGTCAATAAATAGGAATAATCACACAGCATGGTCTAATTGGATTTTGTATAAAAATAGTTTTTTAATAAATATGCAAATAATGTAGAAATTTAGTGACACATTTTTATACGACCGTAAAAAAATTTTGCGGTCGTATATTGGTATTACGTTGCCGTCGTCGTCCGAAGACACATTGGTTTTCGCACTCTAACTTTAGTTTAAGTGAATGGATCTCTATGAAATTTTACCATAATGTTCAATACCACAAAAGGAAGGTTGGGATTGATTTTGGGGGTTATGGTACCAACAGTTAAGGAATTAGGGGCCAATAATAAGCATTTTTGTAACTTCCAGACATAACTTGTGTGTTAGTGTATGGATCTCTCTGACATTGTACCACAAAGTTCCATATCACAAAGGGAATGCTGGGATTGATTTTGGGGGTAATTGCCTCAAAATTTTAGGAATTAGGGGCCAAAAAAGGGGCAAAACAAGCATTTTTCTAGTTTCAGGACAATAACTTGTGTGCAAGTGTATGGATCTCTCTGAAATTGTACTACAAGGTTCCATATCACAAAGGGAAAGCTGGAATTGAGTTTGGGGGTAATTGCCCAAAACATTTAGGAATTTGGGGCCAAATAGGGGCCAAAAATAAGCATTTTTCTAGTTTCCAGACAATAACTTGTGTTCAAGTGTATGGATCTCTCTGAAATTGTACAGCAAGGTACCATACCACAAAGGGAAGGCTGGGATTGTTTTTGGGGGTAATTCCCTCAAAATTTTAGGAATTAGGGGCCATAAAGGGGCAAAAAAAACAAGCATTTTTCTAGTTTCAGGACAATAACTTGTGTGTAAGTGTATGGATCTTTATGAAATTGTACTACAAGGTACCATACCACAAAGGGAAGGCTGGGATTGAGTTTGGGGGTGATGAATCATAAGGGGGTTCAAAAAATTTGGGGGAGGGATTTTTTTTTCCTTTTTTTCCTTTTTTTTTCTTTCAAATTTTCCATCTGAAATTGTACTACAAGGTTCCATATCACAAAGGGAAAGCTGGAATTGAGTTTGGGGGTAATTGCCCAAAACATTTAGGAATTTGGGGCCAAATAGGGGCCAAAAATAAGCATTTTTCTAGTTTCCAGACAATAACTTGTGTTCAAGTGTATGGATCTCTCTGAAATTGTACAGCAAGGTACCATACCACAAAGGGAAGGCTGGGATTGTTTTTGGGGGTAATTCCCTCAAAATTTTAGGAATTAGGGGCCATAAAGGGGCAAAAAAAACAAGCATTTTTCTAGTTTCAGGACAATAACTTGTGTGTAAGTGTATGGATCTTTATGAAATTGTACTACAAGGTACCATACCACAAAGGGAAGGCTGGGATTGAGTTTGGGGGTGATGAATCATAAGGGGGTTCAAAAAATTTGGGGGAGGGATTTTTTTTTCCTTTTATTCCTTTTTTTTTCTTTCAAATTTTCCATTTTAAATTGGTTATTTCTGATTTATATATAAAAGCAAATAATAATGATATGGTTTGAATAGGTAAATTAAAAAATTTTAAGTTCTTAGACCACATTCATTCTGTGTCAGAAACCTATGCTGTGTCAAATATTTAATCACATTCCAAATTCAGTGCTGTATCAAGCTTGAATGTTGTGTCCATACTTGCACCAACTGTTCAGGGTTCGACCTCTGTGGTCGTATCAAGCTGCGCCCAGCAGAGCATTTTATTTTTTAAGTTAAACTTGCTCATGTCTGATATAGTATTGAAGTAGAATTACACAAACATACAGATGCTTAAAATTTTATGCAGAGTACTGTCAGAGACATATGCGTCTCTGGTACTGTACACCAAAAGAGTGTGTATGTTAACAACATAGATATTGGATTGATTTTTAAAGGCATTGTTATATTTACGGCGAGGTTGCAACTAAAATTTTGAATACAAACACGTGTTGCAGAATCTCAATATTGCAATTCCTAAACCTCCTGAATGCACCTGTGCTTGTTCCCCATTCATAAATAACCCGACTGGCCACGTTATTATTGGTGCCCTAAACATTGTCAATTACACTTCTCTGCGAAATGTGTTATCCAAAGGCCCGAAATATCATGAGCCTTAATCCATCAATTGGAAACACAACTTCGAAATGCTGATGGATTCAACCGAGGATTATACCAGGCAATGGGTTAAACGCCAGAAATTCGAAGACGTAGATACTCTTTCCGAATGGATTAAGGCTGTGAGGTCGTTGAATACAAATCCGAATTAAAAAACTGAAAGGGTCTATGAATAAAGACCCAAATGTTGCAAAGCACCTGTCCTACCCCCATGACAAGTATGTTGTTGTCTCCGAGGTTAAAGCCCCAAACAACATAGTTTTTATGTGTAAATCACATTATATAAACAAATTGATAAACGAGTTACCGGTAGGTAAATTGAAAATTCACTTGGAAACTCAACATATACCCCTACGATACTTACCCAGGAGGAAATCCTGGATAACCATAGGTCTGTTCTATATTCCCTTGGAATTTCAACCAAAGATGAAGAACTGGATCTTCCTTCACAGTATTGGATACCTAAATTACATAAGTGTCCTTACAAACAGCGTTATACTGCTGGATCTGCCAAGTGCTCCACAAAATCTCTTTCTTAATTATTAACATCAATTTTATCAACTATCAAAGCTGGGCTTCTAACTTATTGTGAAACTACCTTATCTAGATGCGGCATGAATCAGACGTGGTAACTAAAAAATTCCAAAGATCTGTTAAGAGTACATATAATCTAAGACTCTTTAATCTTGCAATAGTATTATAACATTTGACTTTTCTTCATTTTACAAATATTCCCCATTCCAAACTAAAAAAAAAACAAATTGGAAGAGTTGGTCCGGCTTTGTTTCATAAAAAAAACAATGACCAACAATCTTGTCAGGGAGAGATAAATCGTATTTTGTAACATACGATCGGCATTTCCATGGGAACCAACTGTGTTCCTCTTCTTGCCAACTTGTTCCTTTATTCATATGAGGATGACATACAGGAGCTTCTTAGGAAGAATGAAAAGAAATTAGCATTATCCTTTATTTTACTTTCCGCTATATAGATGATGTCCTCTTACTAAATAATTCAAAGTTTGGTGACTTATGTTGAAAGCATCTATCCCATCGAACTTGAAATAAAGGATTCAATAGATACAGTTAATGCTGCCGCATATCTTGACTTATATATAGAAATTGACAATGAATGTCGATTGAAAGCAAAACTTTACGACAAAAGTAATGATTTCAGCTTCCCAATTGTAAGCTTTCCACTTCTATGTAGCAACATTCCAGCAAGGCCTGCATACGGAGTATATTTCTTCCAGCCAGTTGATACGACATTCCAAGGCCTGCGTTTCCTATCATGATTTCCTTGATAGAGGGTTTCTCTTCACAAGGAAGCTATTAAACCAAGAGTTCCAAGAGGTGAAGCTGAAATCATCCCTTCGAACAATTTACGGACGCCATCAC